CACAAAGTTAAATTGTCCGGTCGTTTGGTGCGTTAAGACAATCTCATCGAAAGTTACTATTCCAGGTTCGTGAAGGTAAATACATGTGTCCACAAGAAACGAACTTAGGATAGTGTTAATCTTGAGAATAGGAATCTTGGAAAATTCTACAAAGGAGCTGTCACCAAAACGACAAATTACACCAAAAACGACAAGTTACATGAAGAACTGTGCACTAATCACCACGGATTGCGAATGCACAGTTTGTTACTTACATAGTTGTGAGACCAACTTTTATTAATGGTTGTTTGTACACAGTTCAACGGGTACCAGTGTTCTTGCTGCACTATTGTAGTACTACCATTCTTTTACACAGCACTGTGTGAAAGAATACAGCAAACACGCGCCCAATGGTGAAAGAATGTATGAAATGATTCGGGTATTCGTTCCCAAAATTCCACCCATTCTTGTAACGAATCGGAATAGTTTATTGAAGAGGATAAATTGTTGGGGTTTTTTTGGGGGTGGGGGTGGGGGTGGGGAGGACAACCTCATCAGCGCTCCCTTTTGTGAGGGGAATTAAGAGGAGAGAGAAATACTCCTCCAAGTCCTACATATACAATGGCTTAGCATGAAAGCTCGGCTTCGACGTTAATTTGAAATTCGTCTCGGAAATTTTAGACATAATAGCCCGTTTTAACCACAAAATGAATTCTGGCGATGTTTCCAAATGCTACGCATCATAAACTATCACTCAGCAGTATGGGCTTTACTTTCATGGTATACGATGATTGAAAATCATTTTTAATTACCTTTTTTTCAGCAGTAAAGGCAATTTTACGATTTTGTGTTCTCAATTGTATTGTGTTCGATGACGCATTTGTCAGGCGACAAATTGCCAATAAAATGTTCGTGCAATGCATCATAAAATTTTACAGTTGACTTTAATTGAAATGTTGGTTGCAGTGTTTGGGGGCTGATAGTGATAGTACAGTGTTTCTGTTCTTTGAATGGCTTCTTCCTTACGTCCAGTCATTATTCATATTGGATACAGCCAGAACTGTGTTCAATATGCAAAAGAGAAAACGAGTAGGGAAGACTAAACCCATTGAAGCAAATTGGTTGCAGACCACTGAGACAGGCAAGATGGTCTAGGAGACAGTTACCATAACAACCGATACTTAGCTTGACATAAATCCCTTGACAGCGATAACTGATATGGTAGATTCATGAGATGGAAGCGAATCGGAAGGAATCGGCGTGGAACACATTGAAATCCAATGCACATTAGTCTTTTACAAAATTAGTCAAAAAAGAATCACGTTATGTTCCATCTCCTTTCATACATTATTGGCAACTTCAAGACTATTCCTATATCCAAAGTGAAGACAATTATATTCTTAGAATTAGACAGGCTCGTTTTTGGGAGGTAATATACTCGAAATTAAATCGGAAACTGGCCAATATGATATCATTAATTCTAATCATGACGTCGTGTCTGAATCGGAAATTTTCCCTTTGGCTATATGGATAGCCATGACAACACTTTAATGATAAATAAACCAAGCCGTTGCCACATCGATTCGGACAGTCTTATGGCTTGTTTCTTATTTATTAAAAGTGATATGCAATGATGATGATACAAAGCGCCCCGTCTTGATGCCTGGAAGGCAAAATCTCTATTTGGTATGGTCCATGAGTAAGCCATATGGATAGTTGACAACGCCGCATAAAGACATACAAAATAATATTCTTTAATAATCAACATACCTGTAGGTCTTTTAAACAAAATTTGGAAACGCAAATTTTGAATTCGGATATTCAGACGTAAAGTGTAATTCTAAACTCCCGCCTCGTTCTTTTTTTCGTGGAGGGGCTTCTTTGTTAAAAGTAAGCCAATAAAGCCATAAAAAAGGATGGTAAGCCTTGAGTGAATCAGATTACAGTGCTATTCTACTAGGTTGTCATTATTAAAATGTAACACCATACGAACGATATTTCAAACAGTGTAATAATCGACATAAGACACCTGTTTTGAAATGTTCAAGCTGCAATTGCTAAGTATCTCAAAATCCCTGTCTCAATATTTTCCCCAGAACGGCGCACTAGTTCCCATAGATTCAATTCTATTTTTACAGAAAGTGTCTTATTTCTCTTTAAATTTTATCAAGTCGGATTTAGCGCTACCAAGATCTTATTATAGAAACATAATAACAACTTTCCGTGCGCGCAGTTAATCTGTACAAAACTGGGTTAGTGTTGGAAGTGCGGAGCACTATGTCCGTTGGCCTCTAGGGTCTGGGACGCCTATTTTGTCGACACTTAATCCCCTACATCTCCGCTTCTTAACACCTTGAATTTCCAATGAAATCCCGTTTTCACCTTAGCTAGCCCAGTTGGCCACTTTGTGCATTACATCTGTATTACTTTACTACGTCAGATATGCATCTGTATCTTTCATGAGATGAAATACTTGTTATGCCCCCGGGATGTTGGCCAAGATAACGAATGCGTGAACTTTCTCACTTAAGCCTGGGATCGAGGAAAAGTTGATCTCCTTCCCAGGGGTGTTGATCTGTTCTTTTATTGTCATAAACCCCTGGATCTATCTTGATGGACGGTGAGATTTGCGGGAGCTAAATGCATCTTGTGTGGTCAATTCATAGAAGCATTGTGAACGTCTTCATTACAAAAGTTCTTTCGCCTAGGATGAGTGAATCTCATGATCTTACGCTTTAGATGGCTTTTAAGGGACTCCGTCCCATTTCGTGGCAGGTGTTAGTAACTTTCTTTTTTTATTCAAGTTGGTTCTAATGTCGAATGAAGCGATGCGCTGGTTTGAATAATGCACAGAAAATAAATTATGAATTGAATGAAAAAAAAAGATTGGAATTTCAATTCGATAAGTAATGATTAATGCAAAAGCCGTTGTTTTACAATATCAGATCTCACCCAATCCTTGCATTTTGTTCCTTAGTTTCATCGCTACACGCAATTCACACACTAATATATATTATGCATTCAACAGGCCTACAACTGCCATCAAGTCAACGCTCTACGGTCGCACGCACAGCTCATATAGTTTTACTTCGTCTTAAAAATAAAAGAAATCTATTCTGAATTTCAACTCCGTATCGATCCAAAACTTCCAGCAGCATATACAATTATCATGAGTTGACTCGAGAGGAACGGCTGACAATGAAACATTACAGGCGTCCTTTGGCTTGGCTTGTTGATTGAGGATTCACGTTTGTGTATTGTATGATCTGTCAACATCAGATAGTGGAAGATAAAAATCGATAGATGGTCAGCATTACTGCTTCTTGCTCCTAGGTTCTTGAGACATCTCAACCTCTCCGACCAAATATTGAATTGAATCAGGGATACTCGGGTATCGAATGGAGTAGTGTCAGGCGACATGACGGGGGCGACAGGGAGTCTTTCAGCTGTTGGACGGATGAAGGGGATGGATGTTAGAAAAGGAGTTGAGCGGAGAATCATTGGGGCATCTGTCATTGAGTGTGGCTGGCAGTGAGGTTTGGCATTGCCAGTGAAAGTCTTACTATTGGGAGCTCAGATTTGTATTTGGATGTATCATATTTTTTTCTTGTAATGAAAGCAAAGATACTTAAAAAAAAAAAAAAAAAAAAATGAAGCTCGGAAGCCCCTTGAAACTTAGAGTGCGAAGATGATGAAGTAATGAATGCTCAGTGTTTGAGGTGGGAGGAAAATCCCAGAAAAAAACTTAAAAAAAAACAAAGAATCAGGCTGGGCCTAAAACCCAATCTATGTGTCAGCATAGGTAGGATGTGAACATGGGCCACATATAGGTGGAAGGCCAGTAAAGTAACGATGCATCGACCCGACTCCCAAGACAATGATCAAGAGAAAGTTAAAGAAGTCTTCTTTAAGATTTATGATACACACAGACCTTGTAGAGATTTGCCAAAGAGTGTATTTGTATTTATCTAATGATGGACAGAGTTTTGGCGTTTAAGGCAACGCGCTCCGGTCTTTGATGTTGATGGGGAAAAAGAGGTTCTTCCTATAAGGTTTCGGTTGAATTGCAAATTTTATGATTCCCTTGTTTTTTTATGTTTCCTGAATCAATTCCCTTAATTTGGTTTTGTATTAAAGTTAACTGCGGGGTCCATGCTTAAATCACTTTAAGAGACGTAACTAAACAGCGTACATGCGCTTGTCTGATGTCTATGTTAACACAAGATGTCGCTTCTGTTTCACTCATGTTCATTGCCCCAAGACCGATTTGGTTCGGGTGACTTACGCCAGCTCTGCACTCCATTACCATAAACTGATTGAAAGCTCCAGCAACTTGCAGATTTTCTTACCCAAAATGGTGCATTTAGAAAACCTTTTAAAGACATAAACTGCGGTGATGCGAAACGAACGATGGACGGTTTGGGATCTGGTGTTGTATTGACAATACGCGAGGGATTAAGACATCCATTACTGGTTCGCATGGGTAATGATATATTTGCAGTCAGGTGTGGCCGTCGAATCAATCTGGTAAATGGACTTCAGCCCATGGACAACTGACAGCAAGTCATAATGGTTGCCGAGGCAACACGGCCCAATTCCAAGGAGATGTTCAAAAGAAATATTGCTTAAGAAATTTATGTGCTAAGCATAAATGTGCTGAGCACCAGCCACAACCAATAAACCTAGCATGACATTTTGACTGGTAACCTGGTTTGGCTAAGCCTTTTTCTTCTGTGCTAACTACTAAGCAAGTTTCTATGCTTAGTAAGTGAATGACATTGGCTCCTCGGCCCGGAACCTTGTTCTGGAAATAAATGAAAGGATTTGATGGAGGAATTTAAAATTGAGGCCTACTTAATTTGCAATTTTGCGAGGAAGTGTTCAATGTTAAGGTGTGTCAACACTGAACTAAGAGATGACAAATGAACATGTTACTGGTTCAATTAAATGCTGCCCTCTAGTGGTTATGCACCTAGGCATTACAAGCCTCGTCGAGATTAAAGAAATTTGGAGATTGACGCTTTTTACATTTGCATCATCCACAAAGGAGTTTCCATACATATTTTATTGATAACATAACGTGCTCAATGTAGACAACATTCGGACCCTACAATAGCTATATGATGCTAAGCTTGCCAATGGTCAGACAATAACTGGACATCATGATGGTCAAGCACAGTGGCCATGCAGCATTTGACCACTGGCTGGAATATAAACCACCGGTCAGTCACAGTATCTAAATGACCTGATCACTTGGCGTTGGTAGGGTTATAACAACAGACGCTGTGTCTTCATAGCGTCCATACATAACACTTCAAAGCTTACGTCATTATTACATACAATGGAAGAAGGTTTCTGTGTCACCATGAACACTGCGTTCAAACATTATAAGAACATCATCAACTCAAAACAGTATTGAGTACAATCAGACCAGCACTGGCCAACACAACACCTATACAGATACAGACCGCATCGCAATGCAGTAATAGTCCGGGTTTTTTTTCCCCTCCAGACCATTTTTAAGCGAGAGCGTCCTCTATATTGTATTAAAGCAGCAGCAGCAGACCTTGACAGCAGTACATCCAATATTTCGGCACTTGTTCCACATATTAGTGCCATTTCATATTAAATAAAAACCAACATAAATCAATAACTCCAGTCTACTTGCATATCCCAACATGTATACATCGTGAGCGACTTGATACATAATGCTCTGCACATTAACATTTTTCAAGACAGCTTTTTTGTGTACAAGCCACAATGTGCACAAGTTTTGGTTAAAAAGGCACAAGAGTAACATTTATACATTTCTTTTTCTATTTGCCTCAAAGATTTCATTCCATGAAATGGCAGACTAGCAATTTCAGCCAGATTATATGACTGGTTTGAACTGGTGTGAACCAGTTTGATCCAGTTTGTTGGACAATAATGAAGAGGTTCCACTACTGTGTTACCTTACCATCCCACTTCAACGTCTTGTTGCTTGTGGCAGGACATCGATGGTTTAGAATTGACCTCATCTGGTTCCCTGACTTGATGAGCTCTGGTGCTAGCACACTGACCAATGACAGCTCACTAATAAATATGACTGTCTCCTGACTATTCATTGGATATATTCTTTTAAAAAATCCTAATACTACATACCTGGCTACTTTTAACGTAAGTGACAAATAAAAATGTAAATGTGTTCGCGAAACTTAAGGGCAGGAGAAAGTGGAGAGAACATTACGAATAAAGGATGCCGACAACAAATATGCAACATTTGGCAATATTCATATTTGTGAAAAAAAGGTTAAGTGGATTAAATATTCCAGATATAACATCATTTTTTTCCTTTGCAGTATACTCAATAATTCTATTAATTTCAAATGCAAATTCATTCAAACATTCCATCAGCACATCTCAATACAACCATTACAATAACTTGGTTAAAAAAGGTCAAACAACAGGTGAAAAGTTGGTTAAAATTCCCTCAAATATTTCAAGAATCTATTACACCTGTAAACTTACAACATCCACTGTACAAACGCCATCTTGGAGTACTCAGTTATTATTACTAGTAGTCACACACTACGCCTATTTCTCAAAAGGTCAATCTTATCCAAACAATGAAAGGATGTCAGAAATTCAAATGGACAAAACAGCTCATCAATGAAACGTTTACATATCTGTTAAAACATTCAGCAGCACGAAACCTCAATACCACAATAAGGGAAACGATTACATGTTTCAATTTCATCATTATTTTTGGGGACAGTTTTCAGTGCTGGATCTTAGTATTTTTGTCAATTTTTCAAAGCCAGTAAAGCAGTCGTCACAACTTCCAGCTCATAACATCCACATGTCAATTCTAGACAAAAGTAAAAGTATCAAAACCTCTCGCTTAACTGACAAAGGAAATTCTTTGAGATATTCTGGTTTATTAGAAAGTCCAAATTGAAAGAAAAGATTGAGCTTTTAGCAAAGCATTCATGTTTCTAGAATGATACATATATTTGCTTGTTTCTTTTACAAGTAGATTGCTTACACTCTAACAATGAAAAGTTTCAATTTTATAAATTGTTCGATGTCAAATTTCAATAAACCTTGAAGACAGGGCAAAAACACGCTTACAATTCCACTTACAAAAGAAAAAGATGTTTGAACCGAGGGGACAACTATGTGTGACGGTGTTTTGATTTGAATGATTGTATTTTATGGTCAGTGTGCTGGCACCGTTCCTTTCTTGAGAGTGAGTTCTTTCATACTGAAGACAACCTTCTCTTTCTTGGGGGCTGGAGTTAACGCCATACAGAATCTACAAACATGAAGGATATAGGTCACATTACTTCAAATCATAGATTCAACCATAACTAGCTGAGTGGTTGAGTGGTTCGAATGTCTGCACTAATAGGCAGGAAGCTGTGGGTTCGATCCCTACTTTGCAAACTTGTGTATTTTACTCCTAAGATATTGGGCAGCACTGTACTTATTAACGTTTTGAGTTCAGAGTCAATTTCCTCAATTTGATGAACTGTAATATGCTATGATGTTTAAGCCTGTTTTTGCTTCAGGCTTGTTACACCGTACGTGACTGATATGCAGTCTTGTGGTCCAGTCCATCACAAGTCTGGTTACAAGCAAACCACAAATCAATTCACAATTCCAGTCACAAATAACAGGGGAGGAACAACAACAAAGGAATACCTTTGAAATGTTTATTTGAAAAACCTTGTGACTTTGACTTGCGGCTTGATGACTTGTGATAGACTTGTGATGGAGTTGTGAGGACTTGATAGCAATGCTACTGGTATTAGTGAAACACTGAAGGGTTGTCAAGGACAGTATAAGGATTACGTTGCCCCTTAAATGGATCTCAAGTCTCAGGGATGGAAACAAAAGATGATGGAAATGTAAGCCAAAGTAGGAGAGCTGAATGATCTTACCTCTTGAAGTCCTCAATTTCTCTCTCTGTCTCATCCATGTCTGCCATGTCAGCATTCTCCTTGGGCATGAAGATCTCATCTGAGATGGGGGGAAAAATCACGGAAAAGTAAATTGAAATGGGATATACATGTCCTCTCTGGGGTCCGAGAGTGGATGAGAGTGTCCCTGGGAAAATCAGCAGTCCAACAGTGAGAGGATCGTCTTACTGATGTAGGGAGGGAGAGAGCAGTCCAAGGAATAGGATCAGTTATTGACTGAGGGATATTGTTGCAGTGAGAGGACAGAGTGTGATATTACTGTTGTCTTTTTACACTGCTATGGAGCATTCAGTGTCTGGTAATTGCTTTCTTAGTTTATTACTAGTGGGGTATATAGTTACCAGTCCTGTATATTTCAATGATTCGTACTTTCTAATTTAAAAATTAGAATTTGTGAAAAAAATTATGGGGGGGGGGGGGGTGTCAAGGCTTGATCTGCCTAGATTCCACTCTTGTGGCAATCAGCGTTTGTGTTTTACTGTTGGGGTAATACAGAGTAGCCCAGTCAAAACTTTCTCCAAAGGAAATGTCTTGCTGTTAAAAAAAAGGAAAATTTGCAATTTTCCAGCAAAGGCTTATTACCGTCAGGAATAAGTCCGTTAATGTGCTTCAGAAGGATTAAGAAATCATACCGACTTAAAAAGCACTAAGCATTTGAAAACAAAGTACGATGATGAAAGAAATTCACAAAACTCCCCCATGGATTCTGTTCATGATTTTGGTAAAAAAGAAAACAAGCGACACAAAAACAGGAACACTCAAAATGGCACGTACTCGGTTCTGTTGTGGAAAAAAACCCGTGCCTCTAATGAAACAAACATATGCCATGAGGACAAACAATTCTGTTCTCATGAGGGTTGGAATTCAACGGAGCAGGAACTAGCAGCTCACACTGACCGTACCCGACAAACAGCTTGGCAGGGTTTATTGTTGTCAGGCAAAATATTGGACAATGTACGACGTACCTGGTGTTCAAAAAGGAGGATTATGCTATTCCTAATTGGAAACGTAGAGGAATTCTTTTTGTTCTTTCTTTTTTTGGCAGAGGGATGAATTTGATGCCTTTTTTCTTAAAAGGAATGAAAGATATGTGAGGACTTTGATTTAGAAATTTTGAAAAAAAGAGAACTGAAAGTTTAAGACTCTAAATTTGTCTTTATTGCTAATCAAAAGAAGAAGAAAAAAATACTCCATAAACAAAGACATCTACATGTACCTTTTTAAGAAGAAAAAATTAAAGTGGCGTGAGGTAACAAATGTAGAAAGAATTTCAGGACTACTCTACTTCCAACTGACAAAATTGTCTTACGTTACTGACTATGTTTACAGATTGTGGGGCGGGGAAGTGCATTGATGGATGATTAACCTTTGGAATAAGGTACTTCCCATAGCAATACATCTCATATGACAGAATTAAACAACCCATGATAAAGAGGAACTTTAAAAACTGCTTTAGTAATGGGAAGACAGCTTGATATCTTGGGATTTTATCATCATTATAAGTTCACACAACATAAATTATGAGTCTACATCTATAACGTCTAGTCTAAAAGAACAAGTGCAAAATAACAGTTTAAGAACAGAAATGTACCACTTCTGTGTGAAACCTTTGAATTTGGGGTCTTATCACGATTAAAAAAAAACGGTTTAGCATCTTAGCCAATCATTATTGTAGAACCATTCTTCAAATCCTGACTTCAGTTGGAGCTCTGGCTTTGTAATCTAATCTCCATGGTTAATAGAACCTGTAGATTAAACTTCACCCTTTACAGCTTCATAAAAATCAAACCCAGAGTTGCGTACTTTTGGCCAAACATTAGACTTTCATAAGATGCTAAATAGGTGTTTGAGCTCGAGCCTCAGCTGAAGCCCAGGGTTGAAAAATGGCTATTCATGAAAGGTGAAGGGTTAAAGGTCAAACATGTACTCACCAATGGAAGCATTTGGATTCTCAGAGGAGTTCCTCTTCTTCTTTTTCTTCTTGATATTGCCGTTGGTTTGTGGCTCGTTAGCCACACCATTGACTGCGATCTTCTCTTGTTTGGTGACTAAGATCTGATTCTCCGCTTTCTTGGCAGATGGATGAGATGGCTGTGTCTTTGAGGTTATGTGATTCTTCTCTTTAGTATCTTCCTTCTGCTTGATGGTATCCTTTTGCTTGTTATGGTTTTCTTGTGCTTGTGGTTGTTTTTTGTTGCTTCCTGTCTTGTTGATGTTAGCAGCAGGAGCTTGAGGTGCTTTCTTCAGTTGATGGTTGTTGTCGTTGCCATTCTCGGCAACTTTCTTGGGGTTGAGTTTGCCGTTCTGTTGCTTGTGGTTGTTGGTGTGGTTGCTGTCTTGTTCTGCTGCTTGCTTTGGTTTAGTTGGATGCTGCTGATTTTTCTGATTCTTCTCCTGTTGGTTGCTGGACGCCGTGCTGCTGTCTTGCTTTGATGCCTGCTGCGGTTGCTGCTTGGTCTTGTCTTTGTTGGTAGAGCTTTTGCTGTTGCTGTTTGGTGTTTCTGCAGGTGCTGGCTGCTGCTGCTTGGTCGCTTGCTGCGGTTGAGTGACCTGCTTGGTTGGTGACTGACGATTGGTTGACTGCTTCTGTTGGTTAGATGTTGCAGATTGACCGTTGCTTTGGTTGTGTTTCTGCTGCTGTTGCTGCTGCTGCTTAGAACCCTGTTGCTGCTGATTTTCTTTGCTGCCTTTCTTCTTATTCTTCAACGTTGGCGCTTCAGGTTTACCGGTCTTCTGTTGTTGCTGTTTTTGTTGCAGTTGTCTCTCTGCCTTCTCCCGTTCCTGTTGTTGTCGCTGTTGTTCTTGTCTTGCAGCCTCTTCAGCTGCAGCTGCTGCTGCTGCAGCCTCATGTTTACGTTGTTCTTCTTCCATCAGTCGTCGCAGTTCTTCCTGTCTCATTGCTTCTTGCTCTTCCTCTTGCTTAGCTTTCTCTTCGGCCTGAGGAAATCAACAATTTCATCTTGAAGAAAGATCTTTCTTGTGGCTGTTGTACTGTTTTGCAAGATGTTTATGGACGCCATAAATTATTTAAAAATTGGTTTTAATCCAATTACAAAGAAATTTATAATCCAATACCAATTTTTGGCTTCAGTTATTCAGAATGACTCCAGGCTCTAGGCAAAGTAAAATAACATTCATCTGCTTGAAACTAAAGTCTATTTGGGTCCCTCCTAATGCTATGAAGTACAGCACAACTCTGCCAAAGTTGTATGGGTTGGAACAGGTGTGTGGGTTGGAACAGGTGTATAGGTTGGAACAGGTGTATAGGTTGGAACAGGTGTACAGGTTGGAACAGATGTATGGGTTGGAACAGGTGTATGGGTTGGAACAGGTGTATGGGTTGGAACAGGTGTATGGGTTGGAACAGGTGTATGGGTTGGAACAGGTGTATGGGTTGGAACAGGTGTATGGGTTGGAACAGGTGTACGGGTTGGAACAGGTGTACGGGTTGGAACAGGTGTACAGGTTGGAACAGATGTATGGGTTGAAACAGGTGTATGGGTTGGAACAGGTGAATGGGTTGGAACAGGTGTACGGGTTGGAACAGGTGTACGGGTTGGAACAGGTGTATGGGTTGGAACAGGTGTATAGGTTGGAACAGGTGTATGGGTTGGAACAGGTGTATGGGTTGGAACAGGTGATAGGTTGGAACAGGTGTACGGGTTGGAACATGCGTATGGGTTGAGACTGACCTTTCTCTGCTTCTGTCGATTTCTCTTGGCAGCTTTTGTCTTGGCATTGCTCTTCTGTCGTTGCTGTTCACCGTTGATAAATGACAGTAAGTCATCCAGGGTTCGATCATCTGAGAGGTCCAGATGATCAAACTGGTCAAACTCGTGATTGTGATCAGCAGAGGATGGAGACTGGTCTTTGGATTGCTGCAAGATGAGAGCAGAGTCAATCAAAACATAAAGAGATGGATGATATATGCCATGTTTTTCAGTGTTTGCAATTCAGGAGGCGACGATGTCAAAATAGGGAAACTATAAATTCAAAGAGGTCTGCTAATAAACAACGCTGCGGGGGCCTACAATGTGGCTCTGCCAAGAACAAAAAATGATAACAAGTATCTCTCTGTCACAATTCATTTGAATGACGTGACTTGACTTGGGACAAGGTGACTTGTAAGGACTTGTGATGGACTTGACTACACCACTACCCTTACCCTTTTCTGCCTATCTCTTAACTTGAGTCTTAGCCGATCACGATTCTCTGTGTAGTTGCGACTGGTTGGTGCAGGCTGAGGCTGTGGGGGTGATCAAAGAGTCAACAGATTCAAACAGTGGTCACTTAAGTTTTCCACAGTTTTTCTGACTGAGAAAAATATCATGGCATCATTTCATTTGAAAATGTGTAGGTAAGTTTAATAGTGATTAAGCTTTTTTTTTTAAATAAACCAGATTGAACAAATAAATGAATGAATAAACTCCTGTGATGTTTTCAATTTTTTCCATTTTTTCAAACTGAAGGAACTCAGGGACAGCCACGCTGTAAGTTATTATGATTGTACATTATTCCAAGTTTCAGGAAATTAATTATAAAGGTTTTGAAGTATATAACAATTGTACTTCTTAACAATATTCTTCAGCCAAATTCTTAGAGCCTGCTCCACCAACTCACCCCTCCATGGCCAAAGAATTCACAGTAGTAACAGTCACAATGCTTGGACTCTCGCTCCCTGTTTCCATTGCTGCTTCCTCGGTCGTCATAGCAATTGCCATACATGTCTTCGTCCATGATGCAGTTGTGCGTCTCGCAATCAGGGTCACTGGAAAAAAAAAATGAAGAAATTACAACTGGATTAGTTGGAAAGGGAAGAGGCTAAATAATAGTAAATCTGAATGAATCCAACAAAATCAACCAATGTGCATAACCCAATGGCACAGACTTTGTACTTGTAAATTTCAAAGTGACTTGTGCCCAATATAAGGTACTAATAACCGAGATCTACCTTTCTTAACCTTGCAAAAACCTCCATAACCACGTGGTGGTCTTTGAAAGATCTGGGTAGTCCAGGGTTAAAGTTTATGTTAATCACTGGGTCATTTGTAAGACGATAGGCCACGCTGGTATAACAGGACTAGGCTTGGAAAGTAGAGTTGGCCCCAAAGTTTCAATTGAGGACATTATTTGTACTCAGTGACTCAGTCAATCAATCAGTCAATGACTCGGGGAGTAAGTCAGTCGGTCAGCGACACAGTCAATCCATCAGTCAGTCGGGGAGTAATTCAGTCAGTCAGTACATCGTTCAGTCAGTTAGTACATCAGATAGTCAGAGGACAATAGGGTCCAGCAAAAGCAATGTTGCACATCATACCTGCAAACACTAGCTGATGTTGGAGTGCTTGTTGCTGTCTGCATTGCGCTAGTACACAAGCCAGTCTGAGGGTCAATGACCCCTGCTGTGGCTGGATGACCATGGTAAAGACAGGATTGAAGGGAACGATCATCACCACAATCTGAAAACAGCAAATGTCAAGAGCCAATGATCAATTCAGGTTGACTTACTTCTGGTGCCTGAGAATAAGCTCAAAATTAGAAATACACTCCAAAATCAAGACAATTGTTACTTAATACACCAGATAAATACACAAGATATTAAACCTTTTTGAAAGCAATAACAAGGAATGCACATGAGGTCTAATCTGGAATAAAACCACCTGCACATGGGACAAACGCAAGGACCTCAAAGACAGCTACAATGCAAAGAATCTATAATATGAGGCAAAATAACAGCTGGAAAAGAAACCTAGGGTTTGTATTGACTCACATAACAACTCACCATTCGCTAAGCTGGCATCGACTAGGATGACATCATCATCAGCTTTCTTCTTCTTACTCCCTTGAGGTGGAGCATCACCTCCTCCCCCATGCAGACCGTTAGTCAGTACACCTGTATGGCCTAACTGACTACACTGTTGTTGGTACGCTTGCATGACTGCACTTGTTGTCGTTGGAGGTTTGGCGGCTGGAAGGGTGTGCCTCGCACATCGATCGGACCCACTGTCTGACCGTGTCTTCTTGGAACTCTCCGTAGATGACTGGTTGCTATGGTGATGGTGATGATGCTGCACTGAATGCTCTTTTGTTGTTGTTGCTGCTGTTGCGGTTACCGTGCCGTTGGTGGTCGCCTCTGTACACACATGGTTTGCCCTCTTCTTGTTGCTAGTTGCGTCTGTCTGCATCTTTCCCGCATGCTGCTTGCAAGGTTGATCAGACGCTGGTGTGTTGAGTGAAGGCGCTCTCTCTGTCGCTGTTTTACAGTTGGATTGATGTAGCGCTGCGCGGACACTCTGCAGCAAGTCTGGATCAGTGCTGTGCCCGCTGCTGTAACCTCGTGAGCTAAGCGTCATCTTGGCACTCTCAAAAGGACCGCTCTTCCAGTCACCATAGGTGTGCCCGTGATGATCCCGAAGAGCTTCCTGGGTGTCGACATTCAGCTGGAACGGTGTCTGCTGCTGCTGCTGCTGCTGCGTTGGTAACTGCTGACACGTCGCCATTTTGGTCGTTTTCTGAGCGGTTAACGGGTTGTATAGATGAGGATGGATGAATGGATGTTTAGCAGTGATGCCGTGATGACTGAGATCCAACGGTTGATGGTTGGCCAGGTTTGGATAGAAGAGATAGGACTGGGGTTGTGCACTCAGATCTACCTTGTCGGTGATGTTAACTGTGCCAAATGCGGAAGAGGAAAGCATGTGACTGGCTGTGCAGGCTCGACAAGTAGAAGATCGACCGTTTGAAGTGGAATCCTATATTAACATACAAACAAAATAATAACATGCCAATGACTAGAAATGTTCTGAGTGAATTTGAAAGTGAGTTTGATTCTTCAAATTTCATTTACATTTGAACTGATAAAATTAGGGGCAGGTTCCAAAATCTGATAATAGATTTCAATTTTTGATCAACTCATGGCCTAACAGTTATTTTGTAGCCACAGCTGGGAGCTTAATACCATGTCATGAATGAAACAAACAAGTCTTGTACCCACCTTCAGACTGCCGTCTCTTGTGGACTTTTCTTTGTCTGAGCTGCTACCATCTCCGTTCACCCTCCTCTTCCCACTTTCTTCCTCTGCTGCATTATGGGTAGGTGAGGGGGATGTGTTGGAGTCGAGGTCATCTGAATCGTCTGACTCTTCACTCCTTGGTGAACTGAACCTGTTGGAGATGTAAGAAAAAGGCTGATTTTAATTACGAATTACTTTGAAGGAACAAAACTGGAACTGAATTTTCTGCTGAGCACCTCAATGAAATTAGGCCCTGTTTTTTCCTAAGCAGTTTGGAGTGTGACCTAGCGGTTAGGGTTCGTGTCTTATAATCAGATGGTCACAGGTTTGAATCCAGCTGCTGGCGACATGTTGTGTCTTTTGGCAAGCCATCTCACGCCCACATGCCTCTCACAACTAAGAAGTATATATGGTTACCTGCAGTAGCTGGAGAGTTACCTGCGATGGACAGGCATCCTATCCAGGAGGAATAGATTCTCAGTCGTTTCGCACCAAGGAAACCCGAGATAAATGACGTCTTGATGGGCCATATTGGCTTGTGACATACTTTAGTAATTTTTCCTTTCTAAGCAAATATTCCCTGTGGTTCACATCTTGATTCTTACCCTGAATGTGTAAGATCACCCCTTGAGAAGATCTGTAACACACCATCACTATCTTCTTCAGAGGAACCTTCCGATGAGGAGGAAGAGGTTGACGATAAATCTGGAGGATTGATGTTCTGCAGGTATTTATCCAGAGCTGATAATTGATCTGGGTTTGCACCTTCTTGCAGGTGTTTCAGACTAATCTCTTCACAGAAGTTAGGAGTCAGGAGACTAGACGTCAGTCTGGCAATACTGCACTCATCACATGGACACCTGTCGTAAAAGTAAAAATGGAAAGTATGTAAGATACTAACAGAACAATTAGCGAGGGATTTGCGAGGGACTTGTGATGGACAAGCGAGGGACTAGTGAGGGACTTATGACTGACAAGTGAGGGACTTGTGATGGATTAGCTAGGGACTTGTGATGGATTAACTAGGGACTTATGAGGGACTTGTGATTTACTAGTGGGGACTTGTCATTGAGTTGTGATTGACTAGTAAGGGACTTGTGAGGAATGGAATGGACTCAAATACAACACTTTGGACTCACTTTTTCTTGCAAGTAGATCCCTTATGTTCAGCTTCATTTTCATTCAGTAAGCCTAGCACACCCCTTGCAGCATGACACTTAACGGAGTTGGTCTTGTCTTTGCCCGTATTACCGCTGTGAGTTTTGAGTCCAAAGTGATCCGTGAAGATCTTCTGAGTTTTCAGAAACTCCCAGTCGCCACTTAACATTTGCTGTTTGGTCTTTAGACAATCCTGAAAAATAGGAATAATAAATGAAAGGTTTTTTTTACTTTAAAATAAAAAGATTTGCGCTAACACTCACTTTAACTGGAAAGTAGGGTTGGCCAAGTGGTATGTTTCTTGCCTTTCTCTTCTGTGACCCAGGTTCCAGTCCTGCCCAGACTGCCATGTAGATTGGTTATCAGTCCCTACTGGATTCCACAGACTTGTGTTTTGACCAGGTTATTAGTCTGGGTTTTTTTCCGCCAATCCCACCAAACTTAACTTTTCTGCAACATCTTCTATTTCAAGGTTTTATCAGGCCTCCCAAGTTACTATGCCTGTTTACTTATGCTGGACCCGGTTTTGTAACGAGAAAGAAGAAAAGGAAACCAAATCACCAGGCATGTAAGTAAGCTCGTACATTTTGGAGAAAATTTGAGGAAAATGAGAAAAAGATAAGGCAAAAACATGTTATCTGCAATTTGAAACGAAGCTTGAAATCCAGTAATTACAGCAGGACTAAATGCCAGTTTATTTGTCAGAGATGAAATGTATTCAAGTCTTGCAAAATCACAAGCAAAAACTAGATATGATGTCACAAATATTAATTTATGCAAAGTATGAACCGGCCCCTACACCCCCCAAAAAACCAAGTATCTAAGAATAATCCATGTTTACCTGCGACATCTCCTCGTGATATTTTTCAATGAGCTGCTGGCAGGCGTTCCATTCCACAAATATCACTGTCATATCCTCGTCAAACTTCATGTACCTGTCACAAAATAAAATAACAAGAACGATAAAAGTGGTGAGGTTCACCGAGTATGAAGATATTTCATCTACTTTGGCCTTGGTCTCGGTCTCAGGATGTCCAGGTATTGGTCTGGGAGATATAAGTCTTGGTCTCAGAAATAAATGTCTCAGTCTAGTTCTTGGTCTTGGAAGTGAAAGTCTCAAGTCCTGGCCTTGATCTCAGAGTTGGAGGTCTCAACTATATCACTTGTGTGATCTGGTCATTGTTAGGAGACTGAAAATGGATTTTATTTATAACTCGCCTGTGAGCTTTTATTCTTGTTTCATTTATGAATTGATTCTTCTGAACTCACCTTCGCAGTAAGTTGGCTTCTTTAGTTCCCGTTCCCTGACTCAGTTCATTCATTAAGTGGCTGGATTTTTCCCTCAGACCCAACGGGACGTAGACCGTGGAATGAAACATGTGCATGTTGTGCCTCAACCACGTCAACTGAAACTTGCTCAGATGTTCTTTTTCCTGAAAAAAAATATGACATGAAAGCCAGTTATTAGCTGAATCTTCATCCAGACAACCGTGGACATCTGGTTTTCATTTTTTCATTTAGAAACAACAAAAAAGTTGAAGATCAATGCATGATTCTGACGAAAAACAATTTGAGAAATAGGCCATGTACGAAACAGGCTTCCAGAGCTACAGCTGCATCTACTGCCAGCAAGTTTCTGCCTGGTTGTAATTAAAGAATACCTAGGAAATAGCTCTAGGCATGAGATTTGGATGTGGCCATATTTGAATGAATTCAAGACGTTCTGTCAGTCCTTACCAGTTGTTCCAGTACACCTGATAGTGTCTTAGCTGCCGAACATAATGCATCATACTCCTCAAGCAACATACTGACGAACTGCTTAACCTGTGCGAGAGACTTATAACCAGCAGCTAGCTGACGACTAAGACGTCCACTGATCTCCTTCAAGAAATCATCCACTTCTAGCTCTAGTTGAAGGAAGAGCTGGTGAGGATTGTGGGTACAGAGACGATGTAAGAGCTCCTTCATGTGAGGAAGGTTCAGTTTGGAACTGTCTTCATCTTCTGTAGGATAAAAAAAAAATCAAGAAAATGATTTGTAAGGATTCTTATAAATGTAACATTATCCAGTGGCTGGAGCAAATCACTGAACAGCATGGCACTGTTATGTGTGTGATTACCTGCCAGGATTGTAAACAAGAGAATCGCAAGTTGTCACAAGTGTACACAAGCCCATGACAGGTCCTCATAAGTCACAAGCTACTCAAATAAACCATTAAAAAGGCATTCCTTTTTTTTTTCTCCATCTACTGATACTTATTATATACATATTTGTATTCAACGCAATCAATGAGCTCAGTAATGGTACTTAGTGTTAATTTCTACTTGAGTCCGCAGCATTATAATGGGACTCGGTACAGGACTCACCTAATGATTAGGGTTAGGGTATATGATTAGGGTATTTAAAGGTAAGCAGATATTCGGTACGTATAATTTCTAACTAACCTGCTAATGCTGTGCCTGCTTCCCAGTACACACATCGCACGACATGACTCAACTCACTCCAACTCTCAGCCAACTGTTGTCGTACCATCTCCTGCTCAGCAGCGATCTCTCGTCGCTCACGACATCGCTCACAGCTGCAGGTTGCTTCACTGCCTTTCGCTGCAGTAGTTCCTAGCAGGCTGGCAGGTAAGTCTAGAGTGCCGTCGAGTTTGAGGCGCGGGGAGAATGAAGGTTGCAGCAGGAAATCTTGAGGCTGGTGGGGAGATGGGAAATAGGAATCAAATGAGGGGAACAAATGTTGAGCTGTGGGTTCTTGAAAAAAAAAAAAACTAAGGCCAAAAAAAAAAAAATTCGGTCTCTGGTCAGACCAAAGTTCCGGAATTGACGCGGCGACGCGGCTTTTTTTTTTTTTTGCTTTATTATTATTTTTTTTCAAGCTTGGATTGTACAGACAAGGTGGGGTACTATTTTGCTTTTTTGGTGTCCTCATGTACATTGGTGTCCTCCATAATTTGCCTTGGTGCTTTCGATCATTTGCCTTGGTGCAATTTCCCATTCCTTGGTGCTCTTTGGTAAAAAAAATTGAGGAGGTGCGGCAATAGAGGGCGCTGTTGGAGCTACCGCGGAACATTTTGGGGAAAAAAAGAATGTTGCGCATGATTAAAATCAACACGTGCGCTGACCAGAGACCGACTTATTTTTTTTTTTGCCTAATACATGAAATATTCCAAAAACAATTCTCTTGAAGTATTTGACTGATAAATTGATTTAAACAATAGGAGAGAGAACTTTTTGTTTGCAACATAGTGACAACTTACAACATTTCAGATGGATCTGGTACATCGCATATTCAAACTAGAAAGGAGTTGACTTTTATGATTTGTGCAAAATGGGGGGAAATCGCAAATAACCTAGCAGAACTCACCAATGGAGGGGGCTGTGAGTTCCGTGTTGCATTCCTTTCTTCTTCCTCGACAGTCCGTCTACAATCAGGGCACAACCATAACGGAACCTGAATGAGATCAGAAAAAAGATCAGGAAATTAGTAATCAGACGTTTTTAATCTAACGTGTTTCAAATAATCCACTCTGCAGTTTTTACCACATCCTTTTATTTGCTGCCATTTTATAGTCTTTTGGGACATTAACTTTTCCAATGAAATGGCAGCTAATTCCCTTTAAATTAAAATAGAATTTTTTTTCCCAGTTTGACACTGCCTAGATTTCACATTTCTTTGAGGTCCTTGCTCTGTGACTGTGCATTCCACACCAGACGTTAATCATGTTAAAACAACAAACTGGACTATAACAACAAACCTCAGCCATTCTGTCTGTCACTTACAAAAATCTTGCACAGACTCCGAAGAAATATTCAAGAAGTAATCCACTTAATCCAGGGGTACTTCACAAACAGTTTGGCACGTTCAGATCAGGAGACATGATTTTGGGATGAAAACGTAATAATCTCTCTTTCAAAACAGAATTACTTTGTACAGGTATACATGTTGGCAGTTAGGATGTACATGTGTGCAGTGATGTACTTTAATTACATGCCTGATACAGAGTGTGTGTGCCTGGAAAGAGAACAGATAATTACCTCATCCTTCCTACAGATAACAGTACATGAAACATGTACATGTCTACATGTATGTACATGTATGTAGCTTGTTTCTAGACGTGTCTGCAAACTGTTTGTTTTTGTCCCATCTACATTCCAAAAGGGAATGCAAATTTTACATCACAATCAGTACAAATAATCTTCAATGTTTGCATTTTTAAAACCACAGTTTGCTTCAACAGCTGTTTGCAAATAATTCATAATTATAGAATTCACAGAAATGTTCTCCAAACTGTCTGTGTATTTTTTAAAGGTAGAGTAGATCATTTGCAGCTATCCAAAAAGTAACTGACAAAATTATTATCACTTACGGATTTGGTTTAAAGATAGTAATGGCACTAAACTCCCTGTGAAATTATTCTTTCTGACACGCTGTCAAGTGTCATTTTGAAGAAAACAATAAAAGGTAATTTCCAAAGGTGAGCCAAGTGACACATTTTTGGAAATTTCCGTTTAGTTGGTCTGTAATTCGGCTAATAGTGAATGGGTGCACGCAAGCGCGCGCTCAGTGCACGATGCACATACGCCATGATGGCGCCATGATGACCTTTGACCCCAGTTAGGTCATGTGACATACTGGGGCTGGGCTACTGATACTTTTGACAAAGTTTGGATGAAATCGGTCTAAATAGACAATATCAAAGTTTATTACTAACAAACTAACTAACGGAGAGACATGAGGATTTGTTGAGCTGCTATCCACAGCTTATAAAAAAGCACAAATAACAAACGCTCTACCCTACCTTTAAACATGCGTCCATGGCACTTGTCAGGGTCATGTGACCAATTTTACAGAGCTGCTAAGCACAGAAACTGTTTGCTTAGCAAAAACAAGTTACCAGCCAACATATCATGCAGTTTATATCACCTGTGACTGGTACTCAGCTGATCATCGCTGAGAACAAAAATTGCCAAGATTTTCTTGCTTACTCTGATTTAAGAGTCACACTTCCTGTAACAGTCGTTGGAACCCCATCAACATATGCAAGCAGACAAACTGTGGGGGACTGTCTGTACACGCATGTGCTTGCCAATTCATGAGTGTTCTCTCTCCTTCTGTTTCCTCATAACTTGCACTTGAAACATACCAACCGTGCATTGATGATCAAAACAAGACATGAGTCATGAGGCCAGGAATGTCTGCTCAGGGTTGCAAGATTGCAAGATTTTCAAGATTTTATGCAGGATAGTTTTGAATCCTCATTTCCGATGCAAATTATCATACATGCAGGAACATCAAAATATATCCATTCGCATAAAAGAGCAAGTTGTTTTAATTCATTTCAAGTTTATATATTTTTAGACAAAAATGTATCACAATTGCATAGTAAATCGGTGTTCAATAACAATTATATTTTTATAGAATGGACTGGTTAATTGAGCAGATGGTGACCTTCACAAAAATGACCTTAACCAAAATGCCACGTCCACTCAAATTGTACTTTCAGCGCAAAATTTGTTCAAGCAAATATGGTAAATGATGGGTAAATGTCTCACGTTCCAACCTTAATTTAACCCTGTGTTTGAGTGTACATTATGTAGATAAATGCGAGTGTGTATGATAATTCTAAACTTCATTTTTTTGGCAATAATTGTCACACAATTGAACTCTCCCTGGGAAAACCCTACAAGGGTTTGGTGACCAAAGGTCAGAAAGCAGCTACTGTACACATGTATGTACATGTAGGTATACTTTGTAGTACACCTACATGTACATGTACATGTTAATGCAATACAGCTCAACACTGCTAACTTGACAAACGTAGGGCCTACATGTACATAAAATTGAACACATGACACAAGTATGCATGTGTAAATACAAGTACAGTGCTTACATTACAATTCACAATACAAATTGTCAACTCTGAACACAATATCAATACAGCAACACTGTACACAATGTAATGTACAGCTCACACACAACACATGTACAACATTGAGCCATACCACAGACAACCATTATACCAACTGTTTCCTGTCCTTCACCTAACCCACCCATCTGACCCTTTGACCTCTACTTTTTATTATTTTGTACCCCAGAAAGTGCCCATTATGAGGCACTGTTAGAGTAATGAGTTCATACAGTAGAAGAACTCTCTGATTATACATGTACATGTACATGTACATGTACATGTACCGGTACCTCTACCTCCGTTGGTGCATTTTATAACAATTATTTTTGTCAATTTTAAAGATTGTGTTAGTGACACAAATAAAGCTAATTTAATTTGATCAAGTTATTTATACTACGCAGTAAATAACTACATGTACCTCTATACATTTTGGAACTCATTGTAAATAAACTTTATTTTTAACTACGAGTAAAAAAAAATGGGAGGGGGGAATGGTCACTTTTTAGAACGAGCTGAAACCTCTGTCAGAAAGCTAAATGGCCACTCTTGAGGGACTGTTGTTTAGTTCAGGAGAGTTCAAGGCAAACATTCCACAAACTACATACTATTCAGGAACGAATTTTATGTACAATACATAGAGCATTCTGAAAGGGTAAAATATTCAAGCCATGTAAATTTGATTTCTTACATAAACAACATGAGTACAAACAAAGAAACTTAGATAATAAATATTTGGCTGAGCTTTCTATGGAAACTGCTTGGTTGAAGTTCAATTTTGGGTTGAGGTTCCGACCCAGGAAAAATTTGGGAGTCACAGAACTAGGACTGGTCCAGAAACTGTTGTGATGACTCACTCACTATACAACATTTGTATTGTAAAGGCCCGCCTATCCCACCTGTTAGTAGTATATGAACTTTGACCCAATATCATTGATAAGTGGCTCTTGATTCTATGAGCATGAATGAAACTACCGGTATTCAAATGTATGTACATTGTCAATTAGAATGTACGCCCCCCACAAGCCAATATCCACAATTATCAGGCTTCCAGTGGTAAAAATAAATCAGCGTATTGTATGCTTTTGAAAAAGAACCCAGATGACTGCAATAAAATCAATAAAAGTACCCAGATGACGACAATAATATTTTTGCTATTGTCCTCATCCAGGTAGTTTAACAAATTTCTCTGATTCCCGGTTAATCAAGAGTGTAGAAACTCACAGTTGCTAACCAGTGAAGAGAGGGTAGCAATGGTACGCATGCATTCGGTACTATTGTGCCAACAAAAATGGCAGCTTCAAGCCGCGCAAGATTTGCTTCGGTTAGCGAAGAATTCGATGAAATTTGAGAAGAATATATTGCACTCGCTAAATACAATATTGGACCCGTGCAATATATTCTTGTATCCCCCTCAAAGCCATCCAATACTATATAATTGTTTTTCTCTGATTCACATGGCAGATACACAAATCCAAGCGAGCCTGCAACATTTTTTCCCACGGCGGTGTGAAACACGCCGTGGGCTTGAGCTGCTTATGTTGGTTGGTGGGTTGGTGGGTTGGTTGGTGGGTGGACACTTTACTCGGCCATATATTGTATTCATACAACTAAAGCATTACAGCTTTGCATTTGAAGACTGGTTTTGCAAACACTGTTGCGCATGCGTCCAATTTGCATATTTTTTGCATTTTAGATCACACCCCATTCCTTTTCGTTTTCTGTACTCTCGAGGTACCGGTACGGCCGCGAATTCTCATTTCCTAAACTACATCCATATACATACACGGCCCGGGTGCACGGATGGTGCCGTAAAGCCGTCTTCACACGTTACCCGGCCGCCGTGGGTTGTACCACTTGGTACTTGTTAATCACTATGTCAGGATATTTTTTTTCTTCTTACTAATTTATTTTACAAATAATGTTCTTGGAAATGATGTAAACATTATAATGTGATATCACACAGTTCTTGGAATAAATATACAAATATTATAACACACGTTCATGGCTGCTCTTCATTTACTTAGTGTTTCTTTAACAAAGTAATACCTTCACATAATGAGGTTTTCCAATGTCCACGTGCACATGTTACAGAGAGCCGCCCAATAACAGTAAGATCGTAACAGGTGATCAATTAATTATAATGACCTACCTGTGTAACATTAGGCTGGTTGGTGTCTTTGCCATCACCTGTCAGTGGGGGTACTTTGTGGGCGGGGACGTCGGGTCTCTCCCGCCTACAGAGAAGGCAATGTTCTCTGTCCTGAGAGTAGTCATGATCTTGCAGGTATGGGTTGATGGCACGCATTGGGAGCTGGGTTAAGGGCTGCAGAAAGACAATTCAGAAAACTGTGAGAATAACTATTCTAGTGATGGGATTGAAATCCGGATGTTTAACATTCAGTTTGAATTCCACTATTCGGTTTTGATTTTGGAACCGGATATTAGAAACCAACTTTAAAAAAATTAAGCCTACCATTTGTTGTGACACAGGCTAAAGAAAACACCAGAACATCCCCCAATTTGTTCTATGGTCTCTGATTGTAACTGGGCTTCTTGGTATACCCGGTATGAGTAGCCAACCCATTTGACTTATCAGAGAGTTCCCATCCTTTTAAAACATTACAGCTGTGGAGTGTTTTTGTAAAGGCCAAATGGTCACTGAATCCTGTAAACTATCCCCAGTCATTGGGAGGGCATTGCATGCGGCACCTCACCCGTCACTTTTTGTTGGCATGACTGTGAGCTGAATGGGAACTTCCGGTGAAATCAGATTATTCGGTTTGAGAAAAAAAATTGGATTTCAAACCGGACTTTGAAGTCTCCGATTTCTACTAGCACTAAGAATAAATGATCAGACGATGCACAAAAAGCTGCAGTATTAGGCCCAATTACAATGTATATGAGCTGCTATGAAGAGAACAAAATGCTTAGCAATTTTACATGTGCTATGTGGATATCATCAGGAAACCAGTCACAAATAATACTTAGTTAAAACACTAGAGACCAGAATGATTAAGTACCGGTATGTGTACATGAACCAATCCATGCATGTGCACTTATATGAATCACTGACGTTATTCGGGTGGATGTAACCCTCTTTAAGATCCATAAAGAACAGACGACAACCACGGCTTAGTGTTTTACTTTCAGTATTTGTCCATAAATATATCTGATGACTTGTTACAATTTGGTTGTGGTTGAACGCAGTGGGAAAAAAAGGAAGTTGCACTTCTGAGATATAATTGGAGACAAGGTCTATCTCATCATATTGCATAATTTCCTGTGAAATGCAACAGCCCCTGCTGGACAGACTCCAATTGGAACAGATTCTGCAACAAAGAAACTGTGCTCCTGGATGATTGCAAAATGCAAAAGCTGAAGAAAATATGTACATACATACATTTGTGTACATGTACACACAACATTCCCCCTTGTATGTTTGTTTTTCTTGATTGTGTAAGGTCGTCACTTTAATTTGCCAATGAAGTTGGTGTTGAAATGGTGAAGTATTGTAATTTGTTTGTCCCCTTCAGGTAAACACAAGTAAATACTTAGAGGGTTGGCTTGAGCAATATTACATTTCAAATCTGAACTAACATCGACTAGAACTACATGTATGTACTGTAACTTTATGTAAGAATAAATCTGAGCTGATGGCTGAACTGACCTACTGCCAGTAAACTTGATCATGCAAATTAGCAATCTTTATCATAAGGAAAATACTTCATCCTACCCCCTAAAAAGACCCAGATATTTGTAAAATTAGATTTAGATAACCTGGAGTTGGCACTAAATTAACGGAATGCATCTTTAAGAAGTTCACCTGCCACATTTAACCCTCAAGTACTGTAATGCCAATGTGTAGGGTGTGTGCTCAGTCTGCCAAGGTCATATGCATGGACAGACATGTACACTGAGTGTAAAGGCTGCATGAATTGTAAGCAGACTTCCTGTTCAGGTACCCATACATGTCTGGCTACCAATCACACTGGGCTTCCCCGTTTTTTGAAAACTCTCACCAAATGTATATTCCCTTTAAACAAGCATTTTTGAATGATAATTTTTTTTAGTCATCTTACGGTATACTTTCGTCCATGAATGAGTGTGAATGATTACTTTTCCTGAGTGATAGTCAATGGCCAACAACAGATTTTTGGATACCGCATCATCATTTTTTATGAAGTTGGTGTCAAAATGTCCAAAAGACATCACTTTACCAACTCATAAAGGCTTGGCATGAAGAAAATCCTGTGGTGATATCAGGGAAAAAATGTAGGTGGGGTGGGGGGGAAGGGGTAATTTTCACTCCCCTTCCCAGCCATGAATGTTAATGCACCATAATATTGTGTCAGTCTATGTATGATTAATAAGCAGGCGGTTCAAGCCTTCAGTCCTTCCCAGCCTATCTTTCTTGAGAGGATGTCCTGCTAATTTACATTTCTCAGGCACACTGTACAACTTAGTAGACGCGCTGGTCTTCAAGGAATGTAAATTTAGACACCCGACTTACAATTCCGGGCTGTAACCACATGCATGCCGATACAATCCTGCATTCATGGCAAGAGGCCAATAGGACTAATTGCTTTTCATATTTTTTTTCTAAATGTTTTCCAATAAAAAAAAACACACTTAAACTATTGTGTATGACATTTGTATTTGTTTAGTGAACAGTTCATACTTTCAAAGGCGATTTCTTTTTTTTCATTCTCAGATAATTTTTTTTATATCTTCCATATCTTCCATATCTTCCGCACCGCTTCTGAATCTGCCTCAACCCATTAACAGTGATTGTTGGAGGATTTTGAAGGATTGAAGCAATTTGGAGGAAGGTGGCAATTGGAGGATTTCGCAGGACTGAGGATGGGTCCTAGCCAAAAGGGCCTACGGGTTAGGGTTAACATTATAATACAGATGCTGAGTCAATGTTGCAAGGTTTTAAGTACATGTACAACTTCAAGTGGGGTCCGTAATTTTTTTTACATACTTACGTATGTATAAATATCCCAAGTTTGTGGATGGAGAATATACATACATTGTATATTTTAACAAAAAATACACTACAGTCACTGGCAGGTGCATATATTGTACTTTATAAGGTACCGTACATCTACAAAATAATATACATGTACATGTACATGTACAATGTTGCGTGTTGTAAACTGTATTGGATGTGAGTAGGGCGGAGTGTACCGGTACATGTACATAAATGTCTGTAGGCTATGCATGAACGATGCCAAGTTTCCTTGAACAAAGTCCAAAAGTCTAGGATCTTTGGGCATCCCCACAGGCTGTTTGCAATAGTTTCCTTTCAGATTCAGGGAACTGCAGTAGATGTGGTTCAGTAAAAAACAATAAACATGAGAATTGAGATTTTACGATTGGTGAGTTTCCAGATAGTGGTTCTGCATGTTTACTGTCTTGACTGTTGTAGTCTGAACAGAACACTGAAGACAAATGTCTTTTATATCAGAGGGGTTTCATTTTTTTTTAAAAATTTACTACACTACATTCTGTATGGTCCTCATATTTTAGAATTTCTCCATGTACATTAATGTGTATTGTGTAACATGTAAACTAACATACACACGTGTCTGACAGCTGCACCCTTTCTGAGTAGCACATGAAAAAAGAGACATCAATTAGCCAGAATACATTGTTCCTGATTAATACTTCAGTTGCTATGGTAAATCCACTTAACTTAAGTTTTTCACACGAAAAGTATAAATAGACATTACATGTACATGCCTGTTACATTTCCATTAATTTCATGGTGCAGCACAAAAATGTACATGATACATGTACATACATGTATCAGGGTAGGAATGATACAATGTACATTAATTATATGACCAACTATGATCAGTTTTCTAAATTGGCAATAGAATAAATGTGTTACTACATGTGCATGTTGTATTGAGAAACCTGCCCAAATGCATGCATATACATGTATGTGTACATACATGCATGGGTGGTACTGAGAAGCAGTTCTTTTTATCATGTCATTATCCATAGTAGAGAGTGCAATCCTATGTCAATGTATTGAGCAGACTTGGCATGTACACAGCATGCCTAGGATAGTTGGATACACACTGCCTTGTATTGATTAGCCTTAAAGGGCCAGGCGTGTCCATTCACTACTTGTTTACTCCTTGTTTTGTTGTTGTACTCTGTTACTATGGGACCTTGCCTAGATACGAGTGCAAAAATGTCTCTTCAAAATCAAAGACCCATTAATTTGTCAACTTCAAAAAGCAATTTGTTCCTGTCACTGCAGTATTGTCCAACACTCTTACCAGATGCCGATACATGTACATTGTATTTCTTTGTAATGGATTTCAATGGTTAACTCAAATTCAATCTCTCAAATTGTATGCAATTGAAACTGGTAATTCTTTTTACCGTGGGATAATGTACATGTACCAGAGAACATTGCAATAACATGTATGTAAGAGTGTACCAGCACTTTTCAGTTTGCAATAAAGAAAGCATGCAGTAGACGAGACCTGGGGCAGGAGACTTTGACAACTGAAGTCCCAAGTCTTGCAATTTGATCAGAAATTCTTTGTCAATCAGTTGGCACAGTGTTGCTGTGGTCTTTACTCCAGTCAATGGATTTTGGATAAACACTCTTAGGGCCAGGTGTGGAAAACATGGTTAAGCTGAAGCAATGAAGCAAGTGTTCAAGAAAAATATAATACTGTAGCTTTGGAAATTTTTTTAATGCTGTTAACTGTGAGTTTTGCAAAGGGGCTAACAAGGGACATCCCCCAAACAACACTCCTCCATATATGTGTGAGACCCTAACACGAACAGCAGATTGTATATGGCCCTGATACATTATTATATTTTCTAAATCTATTGGTAATAATAATATTGCTATTTTGGGGATGTACATGACTGTGAATACTCAATGACAGGCAAATATAGATATTGCTTGCTTTGCTATGAAGTGGGAAGTTCAAACATATTTAACTAATGGCTTTTATTGACTGTTGTAGGTCAAGTTTGTCAATAATCATCAAAGGCATAAAATATAACAAGTGCACAGCACCGATGGTAATAAATGACTAGTAAATACTTTTCTCCCCAACGAAGCACAGAAAATATATGTGAAAACTTTGTATAATAAAGAATGTGAAATGTGCATACATACATGTAGAACGCAATGTTGACAAATTTATTAACTTACATGTAAGTACATACACACGAATACCTATTCTTTCTAGAACAATGTTCATAATTATACAAACACTGTTTCTTCTCTCTGGATTAAAATAATTAGATTTTTCAAGCTGTAAAATAAAAGAACATTTTATAAAAAGGACAAAAAGTGATGTTCACTGTCTTTGACTCTTGAGTATATTTGAATATTAAGTGTGTGTAATATTGTATGTGGGATCCACTTCATGCAGCTTCATAACATGTTATTATTGTGGCAAATTGATACTGAAGGATTTTGAACAAGGCATCGTTTTCTGAGAAGAATTCGAGCTGTAGCGTGGCCTACCTGAGGAATGCTGTCCAGATTCAGCTCAGACAGTGTAGCAGACGTTTTTGCAGCTGTAATTATCTGTAGTCAGAAAAGTAAACACACAAGAAAAAAGTCAAGTTTCAATCTTCCCAAAATCATACACAGCCATAAAAACGTAACCTATCGGAGAAACCGCTAAATTTTTGTTCAAATTATCTTTTTTTTCACTGATACTATTGCACAACAATAATTCAAGAACATTTTTATATTATTAGAGTATAACATGTAAAGCCTTTAAAGCCAAATTACATGATGCATATCACTCTAACGACAGGACTGAATGAATGTACCCGGTAGGTACACATACACAAACAGTTTGTTGTTATCCAACAAATGATAAAAAGTTTCTACTATTCAAGTACAATGACTCTTCATTTACAGAACTATTTCTTGTGGGGAGTTGTAGGGGAATTTTTAATTTTATCAACACAGGTACACGTATGTACATGAATGTGATGTCATTATTGGTTGTATGTTGTCATTCTCAGTTCCTTCAATCTACCCAGCTTCTTCCTTTTCCTTTATTTAATAACTTCACAATTTTAATATCGTACTGTTTTTATCTGCATATTTGTATTTTGACATTAAAGATGGAAAAAAAAAATTGTTTCCTGATGCTGAAACATAGTCGAACACCTTTATAACACATTAACAAGGTCCTTGCTTTACAAATTACCTTGTTATAACAGTTACCTTGTATTAACAGTATTGGAAAACAAAGGAAAACAAAGAAAGACAAAGACTTTGCTTGTTATAAGCATGACATTGTATTAACAGTGCTCTTCTTATCAGGGTTTGACTGTAATTATTCACATTCTTGGTACACGTACACCTATTTTTTCATTTCATTTCATATTGGTTTATTTCAATCCATTATCGCAGTTAAAAACTGAATTGCAATGGATGTAACCAAAATTAATAAATTATTTAACGCCAAATCAACAAATTATTACTGCATACTGTACGGTGAACAAATACATTGTTCAGTGAGTAACTTTCTCTTGATTTACATTGCAATTACAGGTATGCTAGGCACTTAAAATTGTTTTGCTAAAGTTTCTCACAACTACATGTGTCACATGAAATTACATGTATCTACACATAGCAATTTGCTACACATAATTTGACATGCAAATGTACATTATAAACAGTATTCAGTCTAGGAAGAGGTTGTGTACATTAACCCTAACCCACCTCACTCCTCCAAAATCCTCCTGGCGGTTTTGGAGGATTCTAGAGGATTGAGGATGAATGGTGATTGAATCAAATGAGGATTCTGGAGGATTGAGGATGAATGGTGATTGAAGCACATGAGGATTTTGGAGGATTGAGGATGAATGGTGATTGAAGCACAAGAGGATTTTGGAGGATTGAGGATGAATGCATTTTGAGGCAGGACTGTCTGACAATTTTGAAAAATTTAGGCGGAGTTGCAAAATTTTGGAGGATTTTGGAGGATTGAGGATGGTTGTAAGCAACAAGGGCCTAGGGGGTTAGGGTTAATTAACGCAAACAGTTAGCAGGCATAAATATTCCCAAATTTAAATCAACATTTTAAAATTTTTCAAAGGAATTTTTTCCCCACATATACTAATTATCTTCCAGACGGTACAAAAATTAACACATGTTCAGGCAGTAAGCACAAAATATTATATTTATGAATATTGAGTGGTAAAGACTATGGTAGGCAACAAAGATATTTTCAACAAATATCTGCTTGGTAATTTGCCCCATAGTATTTCAAACAAAAGAAGAAAAATCATGTGTAGCAAGTTTAAAAATATACCCCCTTTGTTATTTTTTCTTTCATCCCCATGTTCTATATTCTTGACTTAATTTAGGCTGCACATGCAGCTTTTAATATATAAATTATGCACTGCATACCAAGGCATACTTTCATGCACCTTGGCTTAACATGTTAATAAATCAATGTTACTCAGACATCACCAGAAATACATACTTTTCTGTCTTCATCTCAACATGTACATGTGATATTTTGTACATGTATCTTTCGTGATCGCATTCATGCTGGCAATGAGTGCTAGGCAGGTGCATATCAATCATGATTGTAAATCCAGACTGGTTTCCACCCGGTCCTCTCATGAATCGTGATCGTTTTGAATTCGTGTTGGTGAGAACCAGTGTACAGACAAGTTCCTGATCTCTTAGGTGTTGTTCAAAATAAGTTGAATTTATTGCGGTGGGAACCAGTCTAGACATTATCATAATCAATAGGCCTATGCAGCTACATGTATGCATATGTTGGGATCCCTCCATGGATCTGCACGATTGGTCGATTACGCTGCGTTATTAGTTGATTGCGCTGCCATCAGTCGATCACCTTTTTTTTACTAATTCATGGTTCTGGGGGATTGTTTTGAAAAAGGAAAGTCAAGTCTGAGATTTCTTACTCAATCGACCGATCCAGCAAGTGCGTTTCTAATTGACCTATCGCCATTTGCGAGTTGGCCACGCCCCTTAGACAACCTTATGGAGCTTTTGTACGCTAAGATTTGTTTGTCCCAGATGTTGCGTTTTCCGCATCCATGTGTATATCATGTAATTGGACAATATTTCACAAGCTGCGTTGACGCGATTGTAGCGTGATTCTTCCGCGATAGACAGACCATGCCCCTCTTTATATTCTCCCTTCCAAAATGGATGTTTTCAAGGAGGCCATTTAGCCTCTGATTGTAGCTGCATTGTGGTCATGGTCTTCTTCAAGGAGCGAATGTATCGCAAAAGTCAATAATTTAAAATAAGCAGCAGCGCTCGTGGATAACGGTTCTTCAGGAAACAGTCGTTGGGTATTTCATGTCACGGCAATTCATGGCTGTATGTACCCACACATAAGTGATTTAACCGACATAGCCAAATAGCCAGTACTGGAGCTAACATCTTGGTCTTCGCCAGATGTGAATACACAAGAACATGACTTAGCCATACTACTGAAAACCCCTGTTTTTCTTTGGCCGCCATACTGGAATGAAACTTGATCGATACATGGACTTCCACTTCGGTTATGTTGGCAAATTAATTTCGCCAGAAGGAATCACTAGGAAGTCCTAATTTTGGCGAAAAGTGGAATGCTTGACTAAGTGAACCCGCATGCTAAGTATCAGGCCGAATGATTCCCATGAAAAAAATCCATCATTTCCATAACTTTTTTTAGCTCATGACAGTATGGCCTTTAGCGCGCACGGTCATGCTATTTAGCGCCAACAAACATGATACACAACAGGGTACATGTATGTGTCGGTCGCTATGAGGCTGTGTGCGTCGACTCCTTTTTAAGGACGATGTACTCTTCAGGAAACAGTCGCTGGCAGGTGAAAATGGACCATTTTTGTAGAGGCCCTTTTTTTAGGGTCTCTTGCTACCACACTCGACGAATAGGTTATGTCTGTTACGCCCCAACTATCGCATCGGTCCCAACTATAGTTGGGCCTGTCCCAACTATAGTTGGACCTGTCCTAACTATAGTTGGGCCTGTCCCAACTGTAGTTCCACAGTTGGGCTGGTCCTAGTTGGGACGGTCCCAACTGTAAGTTCCACTGTTGGGCTGGCCCATCTATAGTTGGGCCACTCCGATCTTTTTATTTTGCAATGTCCCAACTATAGTTTACATTGATGTACAACTATAAAACGTTCCCTACAGCTCTGATACACGTCTGACTTTACTGGGGACCACTGAAATTAGCTATTGATGGGGCGAATCTATAGTTGGGCCACCCCAATCTTTTTATTTTGCGGTCCCAACTATAGTGTACATTGTTGTACGATTATAAAACATTCACTACAACTCTAATACACATCTGACTTTACTTAGGACCAATGAAATTATCTATGGGTGGGGACCATCTGTAGTTGGGCCACCGCAATATTTTTATTTGGCGGTCCCAACTATAGTTTACATTGATGTACGACTATAAAACATTCCCTACAGCTCTGTTACATGCCCGACTTTACTTGGGACCTTTGACATTAGCTATGGGTGGGGCCCATCTATAGTTGGCCGGCCATGGCAATCTTTGAACTTTGCAAAATGTTGCTGGACAATAAAACCCAGCAGCTGGACAACTCATCCAACTAGGCAGTACCACGTGACCGGCCAGCCTTGCGGCATGCATGCACGACGAATACACGGTGCCAACGCCGCGGAACATCAACAAGATCTATCAAGCATGAAGCATCCGGCGCAACTCCAGTCCTAACTATAGTTGGGCCGACCCAACTGCCGCACTATAGTTGGGACAGTCCCAACTATAGTTGGGACCGATGCGATAGTTGGGGCATAACACTTCTCCAGTGCTACATGTGAATGAATATGAGCATGTCAAGCTAATTTATGGGCATGATGGGGCTAGGTCACAGACCGAGTTGGTCACGGACCGAGTTGGTCACGGACCGAGTCGGTCACGGACCGAGTTGACTCGGACCGAAATGGTCACGGACCGAGTTTACCTGAAAGCATGTATTTCGAGGCACAATTGCAGAATACCCCGCCACTTGATCTATCCACCTCGTAGCCGGCTACGAGGTCACGGTTGGTTGACCTCAATAAACATTCTCAGCGCTACTTGTATGTACTATGCGTCATGCTCCATTGCACTCCCACTTCGTAACCGCGTAGCCGCCAACAGGGTAGTTGGTTTGGACTTAGAATTTTTTCAGCAACTCCCATTCCTTTTGTGTTGCTTCGTTCTCAAGCATATTCAAGGGGACTCCCACTCCGTATCCGCGTAGCCGCCAACAGGGTGGTTGGTTTGGACTTAAAAAAATTTCAGCAACTCCCATTCCTTTTGTGTTCTCAAATAATGGACCCCCACTCAGTATCCGCGTAGCTGGCATGGACTTGAATTGTTTCTTTTCCAGTGATTCCAACCTCGTCATGCTCGTACTACCAGAGAATTTAGGGGTGCATTTCCGAGTGGCAGGGTATACTGCAATTACTCCCATTTCGAGTTGCCAATCAATGCAATCATGGCAATGGCTAGACCCGTGAACGTGGCTTGTATTTTGTAAACTACAACGCCACGTTCACGGGTCTAGGCAATGGCTAGCCCCACTAGTGTGGCTGCGGTATGCTGCGCTGAACCTCTGGCCACACACCGTGGTCCGCGCACTACTGAGGACATTTTCATAAAAATTGCAGGGAATTTCTTACATATGGTTGTATTCTACGATGTCCCATCTATCACTTCTGGGATGCTTAGGTGTAATGATGTTCAATTTTCCGAGATATTCTTGAATCTTTCTGGAGCCCATATGCACTCGTGAAACGTCCGGTGATGGCAGCCATTGTGAATTTGCCGTAGATCCTGAATAGAGATCAGTGCACGTGGCCCCCAGACGATAAATGCATGGTAAAGGAAACAGCCGTCGCATTTGCAACTCGCGCCCTCGCTCGACAAGCAATTTGCATAAACGCGACGTCACAGCTTGAGGTCATCTCTTGTCACATTCAAAATGGCTGCCATCACCGGACGTTTCACGAGTGCATATGGGCTCCAGAAAGATTCAAGAATATCTTGGAAAATTGTAGCCCCACTAGTGTGGCCGTCGGTATGCTGCGCTGAACCTCTGGCCACACACCGTGGTGTGCCATGCATTTATCGTCAGGGGGCCACGTGCACCGATCTCTATTCAGGATCTACGGCACAGGAAACAGCCGTCGCATTTGCAACTCGCTGCCATCACCAGACGTTTCACGAGTGCATATGGACTCCAGAAAGATTGAAGAATATCTCGGAAAATGGAACATCATTAGACCTAAGCACATGCTAAGCATCCCAGAAGTGATAGGTGAGACATCATAGAATACAACCATAAGAAAGTAAGAAACTGAAAATGTAAGAAACTGCCCTGAATTTTATGAAAAACTTCGTCCTCAGTAGCGCGCAGTACCACGGTGTGTGGCCAGAGGTTCAGCGCAGCATACCGACGGCCACACTAGTCAGCTAGTGGGGCTAGGAAAATTGAACATCATTACACCTAAGCATCCCAGAAGTGATAGATGGGACATCGTAGAATACAACCATATGTAAGAAATTCCCTGCAATTTTTATGAAAACGTCCTCAGTAGTGCGCGGACCACGGTGTGTGGCCAGAGGTTCAGCACAGCATACCGCGGCCTAGCCCCATAAATGTGGCCTATTTACTGGACTGCCTCCGTAAACATAGGCCACACATCCACATGTACAAAAATCGTGTCGACGGAGCCAAATTTTGATTTTCACATTTAGGCTTAGTTTGTAGGGTTTTTTTGCTTTAGAAGCATACTCACCCTCTTTACAGGCTAATCAGAAAGTGCTGCCTTTTTCAGATGTCTAATTTTTGTGAAATTTCATGTTGAAATTTTGATACGCAAACGTGTAAAAATGAATCTGGAAATTTCACGAAAAATATACATCTGAAAAAGGCAGCACTTTCTGATTAGCCTATAAAGAGGGTGAGTATGCTTCTAGAGCAAAAAAACCCTACAAACTAAGCCTAAATGTGAAAATCAAAATTTGGCTCCGTCGACACGATTTTTGTACATGTGGATGTGTGGCCTATGTTTACGGAGGCAGTCCAGTAAATAGGCCACATTTATGGGGCTAACCGCGGCCACACTAGGCAATGGCATATACTAACCTGGTCACCAATTCCTGCCTGCTTTTGTTGACGACTGGGTTTGGCATTCCCACCGCCACCACCCCGTTTATTCCTCCTTCTTTTACTTCTTTTCATGTCGGATGCGCTCATATTGATGCCTGAATATGTATCTTTGGATATCAAGTATTCATCGGGCACAAATGGTTTGCTTGTTGAAAACTGCAGACGTAAACTAAGTTCGAGTTTTCAGTGTGCCTCTCGACGTCGCGACTTTCACGGCAATTTGTCATGGAATCTTACCCAATCCAATATGGCGACTTCCCATCAATTTGTTTTTGTTTATAAAATAAAACTCTCACATAAATCTTCTCAACAGTAAATATTTATACAATTATTAAAAATCAATTGTTAACGAATATCGTATTACTGAGAATTTGGGAGAAATTTTCGCTTAATTTTGGCAAATTTGAAAATAATTCGCCAGACCTCCTCTGACGTCATTTGTGTGGAGTAAAACTCGAACAAGCGAACATTCCGAAAAAAACGCTAAATCTTATTTAGGCAATTGATATTTACAAGTTTGGGCTGGATTGTTTAAAGGAAAAAACTCAGCTTGTTTCTCCGACATACAAATGCACATTTTTTGAATAAAAAAAAATAATTATCATATCCAAACAAATTCGCTTATTTGTTTTATATTTGTTTCTTGCTTATCATGGTCGGGATAGAGATATTCACAGCTTTCAGAAGTCATGAAGTCTCAAGTCAAGTCACAAGCTGTAGTCTTTATGAACTGCGAATTGCCAAAAGTTTATCCCGTACATGTTCAAAATGTGATCATGTCTTAGGATTTAAAACTCTAAGTGGACCTCCGCTGCCGCATTTCCGCTAAAATAAACAAATGAGCGCTTTTCTATTCCTAACGAGGGAAAAGCTACATAAATATTATTGTATCCTTTCAAAAAGTGGCGGAAAAAGTAGCCTGATAAATAAAAAATGGGGCAACTTGGCTATTAAACGTTTGATGGCGGTAGTCTTTTCATAGACATAAAAATTATGTTCCTTACTCTACGAATTGAGCAATATTGGCAATTGAAGAAAAAAATCAACTTTCAATTTGCGTGTGTGTGGTGTTTTTTTTTAGATTATTGGCATTGTCTCTTCTATTTCTCCCTCTTTTTCATGAGCCCCTTAAATCAGCCAATGAAAGCTCTTGATATCTGCTTTTCAAATTGCGGGGGGGGGGGGGGGGGGGGCATATCATTCTCCGACACCTATCATAGCTCCGACGCCTCATAAGTCCGAAATCTCGGAATTATGAGGCGTTGGACTTAATTATGGAACTTTATTTGGTTGGGGACTTTGGGGATGAGATTTTGTCGGACTTATAAGGCTTCGGACCTATGAGCGGACCCCCAAATGACTGCTCTGCGTCTTCCACTTATTATTTTACATGTCCAGTAGTCAAGCTACTCTTCCTTTAAGATAGGGCTTCGGCAGGGACCACATTCACATTCATACGTTTTAGTTTCCGCCGTCATCTTCGTATTTACGTGCAGACGAATGGAAATACGGGTAGGTTAACGTTTGGGTGTGTAGTTTTTGGTCCTATTTATCATAGCAAGTTGGAAAAGATGTAAATATTTACGCTCCTTCTTGGGCCAATTTAACGGCGCTGCTAAGCACAAACATTGTGGCAAAGAATGCTAGGCAAACAACAGCTGATTCGATACAAATCACGAGACGAGCAACCATTTGATTTATGTCGTCAGACCCCCTAAAGCTGTCGAGCGCAATTTGAGTCTCCGCGCAAGTTTAAACTTGCGCGCATAAATTTAAACTTGCGCGAGGGACTCCCGAAACACGGAAATTACACTGCGCCATTTTAATTTGCGTGCTCAAGTTACAACTTGCGCAAAGGCGATCGCAATTTGAAAACCTTGAAGAAAAAGAAACATTCAAAACACGAGTACAAATAATGGAATAAATTATTTTTTTTTTAAGGGGAGGGGACCGGGCAAGCAATCAATCAGCACACTAGCGGCGATTGCTTGAAAAGTGTACAAAGTTCCTAAAGTTGTTCAATAATGGAGACCAGCTTCAAGTTTGTTGCCTTGTAAAACAAATTAGCAATTTTATTTATATTCTTAAATGTAAATAAATCATAATGTCCTTAAGTATGTGTAACTCATTGTTAATGTAAAAAGGATGATTATGATCCCTTCTATTGTTCAAGTTTTGACGTAATAGTAATCATTTACGTTATTTTTAAAATGCTTTAAATTACATTACATGTACTGTACAATTAAAAAAATACTGATTTAATTAATTTAGCATAGCAATTAATTAATTGGACAGTTCAATAATTCATATTCTTTTTTAAAATTACTTTGCATAACATTTCGGGCGCTGTGTACACTTAAAAAAATGCATAATTTGAAAAAAAATAATGAATGCATTACTAATTTAGTTAATTAATTAAATTTATTACTTTAACAATTATTTTATTTGCAGGCTCAATAATTCATATTAATGTTTACATGTTTTAACTTAAAAACGCTATGCATATAAAAAGGTAATTACTGTAAATAGTAAATAAATGTGTTAATGTATAAATTAATTAATTTAATTTACTAATTTAATTAATTAATTCGACTTTATGAATAAATATGTTGTTTATGAAACAAAAATCCTAATGAGCCATAAACAATAATAAACATCATGATGCAAAGTGCATTATCTCTGAACCTCTACACAGCCAACCTCATTAGTCATTAGCATAATGCTGTTAATAAAATGTTTCAAAAAAAGGCATTTAGGCAACAACAATTTTTTTTTACATATCTGCATTAATTTACCCTGGGGAAAAAAAGAAGCTTTGCATGCATGGGGAAAATCTGTGTTGTGCGCAAGTTTAAACTTGCGTGCGCAATTTGTAGCAAGGAAGCTAATGCACGCGCAAGTTTAAACTTGCGTGCGCGCAGGTTTAAACTTGCCCACGCAAGTTTAAACTTGCGCGGGGGACTCAAATTGCGCTCCTATTTCTGTGCACTCACCTTTAAGTTATATTTTGCAAGGCATGCATCCTAAAAAATGACAAACTTTCACTGGGATGGTATCCTTTGATGCACGAAAAAATGTGGAAATTGAAGGCTTTCCCGGGAATTCAGGCAAAAAATGAAAACAATCTGCTTTTTACAGCTATTTACTAACTACAAAAGCAGGCAGATGCTTCCGGGCCTGCAGAAGTCGAAAATATGACTGTACGGTGACCTTTCTTGGTCTACACTATCGTCAGTATTATACTATAGTTAACATGTCATAGATAATACTTTGCAGTTTCTACAGGGGTGTAAAACTTTAGTGCAACCAAAAAAGACACATTTCTTATATTATTTTTGGATTTTTTTTTCGGTCATAACTTTTAAAATCTGACATCTTGAAAATTGTCTCTGTTGATTGGGATGATCAGAATAACAATATTATCGGGATCTACATTTAATATGTAAATATGTATAAAATGTATTTATGTAAATATGTAAATATAGGCCTTTGTAAATGATTCAACCATTAGGATATTGAAAATAATCTTGAAATTAAGAAAAGTGTATTGGCGGTCAAAAAAGAAAGGAAAAAGAAAGAAAAGTTTGACAAGCTCAAGGATATATTTTCCTAAAGCCAAGAAGTCAAAGTTATTAAAAAAATGTTTATAGTGAGTTACATGACAGATTTTCCATGCAGCATCCACTGCGTAGAATTAGGCAGGAATTTTTTCTACAACGCCAAAACTGCATGCTTTGGAATTTCCTGGTTGTTGCCACAAATAAAGAGATTTCGCTTTGTTAATCGGTATGGTGGATGATCGTAAGCCAACAATATAAGTTTCTTTTAGGAAAAGAGTGGTTGCCTTGCTATTTTTAAGCTTCTTGGTTTGCAAAGCCATTAGTCTGCTCCCTTACATATTGCGCTAAATTAAAAAGAATATACACGACTGTCGGTCTGGCTTCCAGACGCAGAATTACAAAATTACAACACCGTCTGCAAATGGTGCTTGACTAAATTTAGTGCAAAATATACATGTAATACACTCTGTACACAACCATCAACCACCAATGTGGCATCAGGATGCTACATTCTTTCATGAAATGTATAAATTAAGAAAACACATAAATGCAATATTTTCTCACATTATGCTCAAATAGATGTTTTGGTTGGTGGTTTCCCCAGGACTTTGATGCAAACATTAATATGGCCACCCGAAGGAGGCAGCCCTCCTCTGACGACGTGCTCATCATTAGTGATGGTATGTATTTTTGATTTTTTTGCTTTGTTTTTTTGGTAGTAGAAGTCACCAATTTTATTTACAAGGTTATAAGCCACTCAAGGTTAGGGCTACTAAAAATCAGGAATAAAGACAGGCACTAGAATTGCTTGCCCCTGTATCCCAAAAGCAAGCTATCTTAGTGCGATGGAGGTATGTGGTATACAGGACCTCATTGGAAAGCACAAAGGACTTGTAGTACATCCTGTTTGGTGAGGAGCCACATGGTCAAGGATGGGGTGATCAGTACAGAGTTTGTGATTATACATTAGGATGCAAGTCCTTTCCTGATTGGTCCTAACTCTCAGCCATATTTGACGTATAGCCGTAGGCCTGTTCCCATCTATATCCAACAACTTTTGAAACACAGAGCTTGTTAAATCCAACATCTATCTGCAGGAATGAACATTTTAGCAGTGTTTAACATTTTCTCAGGCCTGATCAATTGAAAACTGCATGACTAAGACTTCCTCTTGATTGTATCAAATTTAATTTTTTTTTTTTATATACTTTATTTGTTAAGCTAGCATTTTACAGTTTATTTTATTAGTGGATGTGCGACATTTTTTATTGTAAACCACAGAGTGAGGTCTTTACCTGAAGCTGTATCTTGCGTTTGTTTGCATGATGCAGTCTAAACCTGTCATGCTGCCCTCTATTGTTCAAGCTTGGACAGCTTTTTGAATCACAGATGTGGTCATTTTACAAAGTGCATGCTATGATCTGTAAATAACCCTGTGCTTGAGCAGTGGTTTAGAGTTTTACACCTTTGAGTATTAAAATTGAATTAAAACAATTGCAAGGATAGCAATATGTATGTTTATGTGTCTCTTACTGTTGAATGGAATAGTGTCTAACTGGAATTTAGAAAATGAATTAAACTGCTACAAACTGCTCACTGACTGGATTGATCTGAAATATACAAATAAAAAAATCAGAGTAGCGGCCTGATATTTCATCCTCAGCAAAGACGACTTCTGAAAAAGTCCTCGACTAAGGATGACACATCAGGCCACTCTAATTTTGTTATTTGGAATTTAGAAAGTTAACTTACAGTTTAACAAAAAACTTCAATTGTTAACTAAAGATCTCTCATACAACATATATTTGAAGAGATGATGTAACAGAGTTTGAAGTCTAATGTCTTGTGACCTCCCTTGTTCTGTGAAGACATGGGATGATGGATTTTAAGAAGATTTGGGGTAGTTTAGTTAATGGAAGAATTCCACAATGACACTAGAGGAAGCAAAAGGTATCCATAGGAATGTACCTGGTTACTGTTGCAATTCTGTTTGTCTTATTATTGCAGATTCCTCCCCATCCTTTGTTGACTTAACTGATGATTCCCCCTCTGGTGCTAGTTCTACCAACGCAGGCCAGCCAGGCCAAGCTGTGCATTTCTTCTCATCCTCAGCTCATGAGATTGTTGACTTGACGTGTGGAGATACATCACCAGTCATGTTGGATCCTGGTAGGTTATAAATGAATACACTTAATGCCAATATGGCCACGCCCCAATTACCAGGCTAAGGTTGATCAATTTAAACATTTCACAGCTTTGATGCATGATATAAATGCATGTACATTTTATGTGCTTGGAGTTTCCACTGTTGCATCAAGTTGACAAACATATTTAATGCATCACATGTATATAATTATAAAGGGTAATCATATATTCTTTGCTGTAAAACTTGTCTGAAATCTCATCTTTTCATATGCTTAATAATATTAATGTTGTGTTGTTTAAATAAAAGAGCACTCAACTTAAATAGATCTTATTTTAGTTGGTTACCAAAACTTTCCCAAATTCCTTTTATACCCATAAAATTCAGTTTTCCTGTTGTTTCCATGCCCCGCCCACCAACTCCACCCACTCCATTCCTTTCCAACCAGCGTCGACTTTAACCCAGATATTTTATCTCGATAATCCATGTCATCAATCTTCAATTCTCCAATCGTAATTCATGTGGAACAAACTGCGATTCAAACATTCCAGGAATGTTTCCATTATAAATTCCTTCCGATCTTTCTCTGATAGCCTAACAGCTAGAGGGCTCATTTTTAGATTTCGTTGGCTAGACAGCTGCCACCCTGAGCTAATGAGTGTTTTCCTAACTTCCAAATTGCTGTATAATTTGGTTAGGATGAAGCTGTGCATTTCAGGTCGTTGCTCTCCCATTACTGAAAATAAATCCTTGTTGATCATGATGCGGCCTTGCCAATACTATCAGACAGTCTCTACAGCTTGATGGAGGGTTTGCATTATACTAACTGCTTGATTTGTCAACAAGTTATATCTTGTTCAAAGGACCTTAAATATGCACCATTAAATTTTAGAGATCCATGGCAATTTAACTGCTGCCATTTTCCTTTCTGCTATTGAAGTAAATATGCCTTAAATCAGGTCAACATTTATTTATGTTCATATTAACTTAAATTTTCTTGGCTTGGTCTTGGATATCAAATTAAAAGGATTGCACACTGTAGTATAGCCTTGGCCAAGGCGTTTGGCGGCAGTGTCTTATGATCGAAGGTCGTACTGTGTGAAGCGCAAACAGCAACCTCACGCGGTTAGGCTTCAAATAAATATCAGCTGGTGCTGAATGAATGCCTTGGAACATCCTTGGACTTTGGCTTATGTTTTTCTTTATTTTGTCACTGGATTTCCAGCGACAACTTTGTATGCGAATAAAGATGAGATTATTATTCAGTGCTTGGTCGTGGAGACTCATATATTGCATGGATAGAGAGCTGGATGGTGTGGCTACATTCTCCAACAAGTTTGGAGTCTGCACACCAATAACTCGATATAAATCCAGCGACAAAATACGAAAATTGCCCAAAAAAGATAGGCCATTGCTATGGTTGTTTCAAGGTTCTCATTTAGCCCCAACTGATTTGCATAGTGTAGCCTAGCCACGTGAGGTCACAGTTCGCACTTCGCACAGTATATATGTGAGGTGAGTGCATCAGCGGACTCTATCGTCGCACGCCTTGACCAAGGCTAACTGTAGTATGGCTTATTCCTTGAAGAAACCCATGGAGAGAAAACAGGGAATCAATGGTCTGTATTTCAGGAGAAATTAGAAACTCTAGTTTTAACTGAAAAGTTGATCCATGTGTTGCCGTAGGTAAGCTTGGAATGTAGATTACAGAGGCAGACAGTGTGAGTAGTAATGTCATATCAAGGGATGTACCTGGTGTAGATTTTTTCAACTTCTCTGGTTATTTTTAACATTAATTAATAGTACCAACAAGGAGAACAAGAAGAAGTCAACGATTACAACGAGCTGCGCGGTCGTCACGGCGACACAGTCCATATTCCAGCAACAGCGATGTCACAATAGACAGCGATGAAGAAAATGATGTACAAGTCTTAGCCTCTGTTGATGTCAACAATAAGTTACCATGGTAGGTCAAAGGTCATATATAAATACTCTGATACATGTATCTAATAAAATTGAACCCAAACCAATTTAATTGTGTAATCTAATCAGAACTATTTATTGACATGATTGGAACACAAGGAGCTATTCCCTGAGTTTCCTTTTGGACCTGTTCTTTGTGTTCCCTTTTCAGACAACATCTCAACCTTAAAATAAAGTTATTTCTTTCAACCCACAGGAAAATTGGAGAGGTTTTGTTTACACCCGAAGTACTCATTGATGATCAATTCAAAACATTTTTTAAACATTCATATTTGGAGTTTTTGGTTTGTCTTGCTCAGTTATCTCAGTTTGATCTCATGCACATTCTCCTCATCACAAATATATCTCATCACAGATGATATTCTTAGCTTAGGGGGAATGTACTGTCAGTGCGTGACCTGCACATACCTACTATGCAACGATAACAGGTGACAATCATGTTGTTAGGAATCGTCAATTTACTTGTCAATTGGGATCAGTCTTGGTGGTCTAGTGAGAGACCTGTCGTTATTACTACAATCTGTACCATCCTACCTGAAAAAAAGACTGCTTGTTATTTCTACTTGTCGTCTTTTTTTTTTGTCATTAAGGCCTGATGAGTTGCCAAGTGCTGTAGCCACACCTCCTGATGTGAGCAGTACTCCGGGTAGGAAGCAAGTCAAATGTCCTGTCTGTATGGACAATGAAACACAGGTAAATTCTGTGTCTGTTGCTTTGTTGAGCTAGCTGTCTCTCTTTTTATTCCCTTAGTTTAGATGAGGCTTCGCCTTGCCTGCTATGCGGGGGAGGTGGCTTCACTGCCTATTGCTCGCTTCTTCACCTGTCACCCACTTCAGCTTGTGAAGAATCAACTCATGAACAATTCGTGCACGCACACATACACAAACCTTTCTGTTTATAGTATAGCTGTGATGGTGATGATGTTTAGAGCCTTTATGCAGTTGATATGATTTTATAGATAAATGCAAATGCCCTGAGAAGCCATCCGTCTTTGTCTTGACTGCATATAATAGAGTAAGCATGTGAAATAATAGTGACCAACTGGAATCACTAGACTGTTAAAATTTGTTATTCTTATTTGTCTCCTTGATAGTTTCTTTGTTACAGTGTTTGAGATGGTCATTTTTCCACGTTTAAGTTGTTGTTTCAAGTTCAATTATCACAAATTGAATTAGTTATTGCATAGATGAGGTGAGGCACCATACTGTTCACAGCTGTTTATTCCTAGAAAGAATTAGGCTAATTATACATGTAAAGCATCCCCACCAGATCGAGCCGTGACTGGCATGAACTAGTTCTGACTGGTCTAAACCAGTTGCATCCTATCATGCACTCTCTCTCTCATCACTACACATGCTTCACATCATGAGATTTTCTCCCCCTGGCCATTGATATAGAATGCTGAGTCTCACCACACCAGCTGTGTCCAACCATTCAGGCTTGTCACGTCATCTGATGGTTTTAATTAACAACGCTGGTCCATCATCTTGTCCTCTTTGTGTTGGGAGAACTGACATGATCTTGTCTTTGTAGATAAGGTTGCGTTGTATCCCAGATTTATAATTAGTGTGTCTTGGTTTAATTTCCTGCCAACATGAAACAATACACTTGTTTATCAGGTCTGTGTCTGACATATTCCAATTTAAAGTCATCAGGCAGTGACTTTTCTGTTATCCTGTCCTGTAGAATATAACTTTAAAATGTCCAAGTGCAGATGGTTAAAAGATTAAGATTTTTTCATCCTGCAAGTTCCTACAGAGTATCTCTGTACATATATGTGTGTTTATATTCCAACTATAATTTGAGGTTTTTCTTGTTGCAGATCCGTGCCAGCGGTCTTCAACTAAACTCCACCGTCTGCGGTCATATCTTCTGCAATCGATGCATCACAAGTGCAATACGAACACAACAACGATGTCCAACATGTCGCAGAAAACTCACCCTTAGACAAGTTCATCCCATATTTCTATGACATTAAACCAAAGTAAAGCACTTAGTTTTAAAAGTATGTTTGAATAAACCTGCAGAGCGCCCTCTGTTGTTTCTGACCAAACAGCAGCAGGCAAAACTGCATTGATAACAAGAAAGAACTCAAGGCAACCAAGGAATCATATATTTTAACTTCCCCTTATAATTATGAAATGTTTTGGCATTTGTCCCTTTTTAGTCATTTATTATCCATCAATCGTGACTGGCAAACATCACTTTAATTAACATTAAACCATCTGGTTTTTGCCTGCCTGTATTCCTCTTAAATTAATAGAGAGCACTCTTATTAGAAAAAGTGATACCCTTCACATCAAAGCACTTAATTTTTTTGTTAATGAACTAGGTTGGCTTTTTCTAGAAGATATCAAGATGGAAGTTTTTTAAAGAAATGTCAAAAAAGTGATAAGGGATTTCTTCAATTTTGCCTTTTGAATGTTGACATGAGACAAAAAAAATCTTTTTTAAAGAAAATCTGTGTTTGATGAATTTTGTTTTTGTTTAATTTGACTCAATTTTTTTTTTGAAAATAAGAAACCACAAAATCCTGAATGTCTTGAAGAGAATTCTGCATTTGCATTAACTAAAAAAGTCTTCCCATTCAATGTATAGGCATGAAGTATTATCCCAGATGTGAAAATAATAAATGCGGCATGATCTAATTCCAGAGATGTTCCCTAATTTAACATGTGCCCAACATGCCAGACACATTGTGTAATGCTACATCTCCGAGAAAAACATATGGACACTTCCATCATGTGTGTAGCATTAACTTCTTGGGTTGGACGACCATTTTGTATTGTATACATGTGCCTGTTTTTCCCCTCTGGAGCTGAGACATTCATATCGTCTGTTGCTTTGATTCTGCAGCCCAGAAGCAGCTAGCCCTGTGTTTATTCATTCTTTCCCCGTCACTGATTACATTTTGTAGGATGATAAATAGTCAGCTTCGATGGAAGATAAATGTTTTTTTTATGCTTCCAAAAATTATGGCCAATTTTAATAGTATGGGGCAGTTTTTCCTGTATAATTTTCTCTCAGGTTAGATAATAAAATTCATTTTTTTTTTACACAAACACCTCGTGTTATTGCTGTTCCACCTTTGAAATGTTGCTTGAAGTAATAAAATTGGGTTCTTTTCAGCTGTCATGTTAGAAAGTTGAGAAATAATTAACTTGTCATGTTCCCTGTTGGACACATTCCCAGTTGGGATTATTTATAACAAGTTAAGCCATTTAACTGTTAATAATTATTAATTGTAAGATATTAAAACATTTACGGAACACTGACAAAAAAACACAGTGTGTAACTTAAATATTTACTGAAAAGAAAGCAAAACAATATTCTTCTTTTTTTTTCAGATAGAAAAAAGACGCAATTTCCATTAATTAAATTTGACTTTTGTACTAAGTTATTGACAACATAAGGCAATGGTGTCACAATAAAATATGAGCCTTCATTTGTATAATTTTGTGTAATTCAATGTCATGTATTTCTTTTCTAAATGTTAATTCAAGTTCAAAGTAAATGTCTTTGGCAAATGTCGAAACATCAAATGAAAAGATTTTGTTTGTTCATAAAATACATGTAAATTTAATTTTAAAAACTTGTATGTTTTTTATCACTTCAAATTGACTGATCAATCAATCATCCAAGAGTTGAAAATTCACAAAATCCCAAACCAAGACAATCGTTCTTGGGCTGCTGGACAATGAAACAAAACATTTTTGGAAAGTCTCTCCATTCTCCCTGAAAGAACCATGTATTCTTTCAAATCATGCCACACAGTACAACGTTTTTTCTTTTCGTGTGTGGAGGGAAAGAACTGTCGCAAATCTTGTGAGCGTACCTATACGTCATAACCCTGTCTTTCTGGGGATCCTTGACCTAGTTTCTATCATCCTGATGGACTATTTGAAGTCTCACAGCAGGCCAATATGAAAGTAAAGGTCATCATCTTAAGACTTAAGTAATCTGATGATGATGAGATGAGCAGGGAGTGAGACTGACTCAACAAAGCTGTATAGTATAACAGGCAACATTGATGATGTAGTGATGTAAAAGAGTAGGCATGAATGTAGAAACCTTTCAAGAAGAAGATGAAGCAAGAGGCCGAGGGGCCACCTATCCCCACCAACGAAATGACACTTTTATGTTGTTTTATGTGAGTGGCTTTCTTTAGTTCGTAAGGTAGCGAACTAAACGTCCTTTTTGTGTTTAAACTAATTTATTTGGTCCTGAAGCACGCACATCTCTTACATTGGAATGTTTATTTTGATCACGCCATTGAAATGTTTGGGTGTGTTACTACTTACATCATCAGGTATGACTTCTAAATCTCCACATCCCGGGCTGGATTGCACCGTGACTTGGTTGCTGAATTTAATGTTGAAATCAATGCGGATGTTTTCATCGTGAGAGGGTTTTAACTTCGCACAGGTATGACGGTGGAATGTCGCCACACTGGAATCTGCAGCACGGCTATTTTAGGTCATTGATTTACACCAGAAAGTAACTCAATATGTTCGGATAACGAAGACTCTCTTGCATTGGTATTGAAGTTGAGACATGAGGGCGTTGAGAAATATTTGATGATGATTGTAATTCTTGGATCAATCGAAATTTCTAAATATATCGCATCTTTCTATGAAATCATAAACGTGAAAAGATTAAAGGACATTATCTCTCGTGTAAAGAAACTCGAATTAGACCACATCAAATATTGCATAAGACATCTTTCCAAATATACATTTTAATTGCAAAATACGGAGTCGGTGCGTCTGTAATGCTTTTAATGTAAAAACACGATATTATTTACGCAGTATCGTCATGGCGAGTTCGAGCATCCCCCTCCGCCCAAGCCACGCCCATCCCTCCCACACCCTACCCCCTTTTCAAATAAAATGTCGCTGTCCACTCCCCCTTTTGTACACCCTAGAGTTTCAGACTTTCCCATAAGCAGACTGTTCATTGTTCTGTTCTCAAGGGAAAGTAGGCTAAAACTGAAACTGAATCTGATGCAGGCAGGAGGTCATGACACGTGGTTCAGATGATGAAAATACCCGTGGGATCTTGAGCAGCGTCCATGAGACTTCCCCCATAGATTATGAGAAGGGTTTGTGATGTCTCTATCATGAAACGTGATTTTAGTGCTTGGCGTACCAAATTGGAAAGAAGAAAGACACATGGTAAGAAACAAACAACATATCAATCACTTGACGAATTGGAACATGGTTCCATTTTCGCTTCCATTTTGTTGAATGTTCAATGATCCTTAGGGAAACAAGTGACCTACTTTATATCTGAACAGAATGTGAATATGTTAGTTCTGTGCATGACCGGTGGATTTGGAATGTTGCAGTTTTGTTAAGTAAAAAAACAAAAGAGAAGAAAAAATTTCCGACTAGGGGGCACCCGGATTTGAACCGGGGACCTCTCGATCTGCAGTCGAATGCTCTACCACTGAGCTATACCCCCATTCTTGCTATGCATTTCGAAATGCCGGTTTTATAGAAACCCAAGGTATAAATAACCTTCCCGAATTTACTGAACCGAAAAGTTTTGTGATGCGAATCTACTATCTAAGCCTGGATATTGTTGTTTTCAGCAAAGGGAGCACAAAGGGCGTTCGATATGGACTATATACGCTGTGTGAAAAAAATATGGTTATTATAATATTATTAACTCCTAAATAAAATGGGTTAACGATTTTCTGTCGGTCCGAGTGGGCCGATGATGTAGTGTATAGACCTACATATTCATGAACCGTGGTACGGGGGTATTTACAAATCAAAGTACACAATAATGCATTAACATATCGCTCGGCTCATCAACATTACCTATGAGTTATCGAAGATAGGCCTACATTTATTTTTGTGAATCTGCAAATAGGGGGCGTGGTCTCCAATATTGGGGGCTATCGTTTTGAATATGGCGCTCTATACAATCAGCCGAAAGTCTCAGTGTATACAGGACCTCGTGTCTTATAACAAACACGTATGCCTGGTTCAAGTCCGTTTTCCCTACCCGTATGCCTTTGAAAACCAAGACTAGAAGTCAATGACCCTATAGTTAAATGAAGATGGGTCTTTTACTTTGCTTTTCAGTACAGTCTTAACATCACCGCGACGAAACGACAGAAGACGCCTGAGCAAACATCCTGATCGACGGCGGGCATTCCACTCTTAACACGCCCTGGTGTGAGGTATCCCCGCCACCAACACGCCATGCAAAACAAGACATTACTGGAAAGGTTACTCTCTGATTTTGCTATCTTATTATTCTTCCAAGAGTAACTTGATTGCATTACAATCTGACCTTCTCCAGACGCGACTTTTTCTTATACTCTGATTGTCCAGGCAATCTTCGATTCTGATGGACCGTTTCGCTTGGTAACAGTTTCTCAAATTAATCGCATATGGTGAAACTCGTTGCAACTTGAATAACATTATTGCCGAATATACATGTACATAAAGATTTACTGACACATTTTAGGCCAGCTACTTTGCCTTTTTTTTTTGTATAGTTCCGAGACCTTAACGAATTGTATTGAATAACACTACCTAACTTCAAGATTCAACGACTTATTGTAAGCTTTAGTTTGATTGTCTGGTTGTTGGGGGGGGGTGGTTCCTTTTTTTTTCATTTTTAACTTGCACAGTTTCCTCTAAAAAGCAAATTATATGAATTGTAGTTTTGAATTTCCGATGTGGCTACGCATCTTCCTGTCGTGATCGGTCAAAGATTGGAGAAAAATTATCCTGCTACCACGGATTGACATCCAAACTAATTTTTCATCTTGACATGCGATGAATTTGTTTTTGAGCCCAGCTAAGAAGCTGACATCTCCCTTAGGCTAGACTAAGAGTATTTTTCTTGGGGCCCCGTTCGCTCCCATTTCTCACCCTAGAATGCTACCAATTTGTTTTCCGGGACCTGGTTGAGAATACACCGGTTTAGCGGGCACTGAGCCAACATTCCTACCGTCTCCTGCTAATTAGATTCGGGGGCTTGTCAAATGGCAAGCGCGGTCGCCAACGCCGGCCCCGTGCGACTCGGTAGACATTCGCAGGTGAAAATGTCAGGTTTTGTAAAAATAAACCCTTAGATCTGTGCGCCAAGTCTCGACGTTGAGAAGTAACAGAGATTCGATGAAAATCATTTGATGAGAGATGCTTGTCGTTTATGAAAATGTGAAATCATAATGCTTTTCACTTACTTCATGATTGACGGCAAAATGCTGCAATGGTATTAAATAAGAATTGACAACCTCGTTATGCATGCTTTCATCACGTGGGAATGTGCACAAAGGACAGAAAATAAAGAAGGGAATTATCAAATGAATACTAAATCCACTCGTGTCAGAAACTACTAATGAGAGTACCAAGGCTCCAGATTTTCAAAGGTAGTAAACTTTCTAATTCGGGTCAGATTTTTTAACCAATGAAATCTCCCAAATTACGCCTTAAATTGTGTGCCTTCTGGACTGTGAGACTTCCATCAGCCTATCTTACTCTATAATCAGATGTTCCAGACTTTATACTTTATCCAGTTTTTCATAATCAAATGTATCTACACTGAAACATCTTTTCAGTCTATTAGACAAACTGTAGGTCTGATTTCGTCGTCGTGCACTCTTTTGGGTGATAACATCTGTTAAGACCATCAAAAATTCGATCGCATAAACCTTGTTGTAAGCACATCCGATTCATATCGCGGAACTAACGATTCTTCTTCTGCAGAGTTCCTAGACGCTGGAGAAGGTTTGAACTCTGAACCAAGACAAAGAGAAAGATAAGGAAGATAAAATGATGCAGAATGATCCCACGAGAGAACTGATAAACCGCGGGATAGTTAGCGAAACCTGAGCAGACATTTTAGAATGTTATGATTTATTCTTGGATGTAAATGCCATTGTTGCTATATTTATACACCAAGGAGTGAGTACATGTAAAGCCATATTTGGTCATCATCCAGTAATCTAATTCCAAGACGATTGCATTCGGAAGTGGATATCAGTTGGCAATGAGGAGAACGGTCTCACTCGTTCAAGAGGAGTGAGCTCTTCATGTACAAATGTTTGTTTTGATAAAAAAAAACAAGAGAGTGAAAATCGCTTTTCACATTGCGATAAATTGTTTTGCCTAAATGTTTCACAGAGAGATTGAATTAAGCACTTCAGAAATGAATGTGTGCATGTATTTTGAATATTTACAGATATTCGTTCGGTTCCATATATAGGATATTATTATTGCTAACAGATGGACATTGTCTATACAGACATTCAGAAGATACCCAACGATTAACATCATTTTCCTGTGAGCGGTTGCCACCAATGAATCCTTTGGACTCCTTAGTTGGAAAATTCCGTGAATAATTCTCGCAAATTCTCGGCGTGACACGGAAGGATAATTTATGATATTTATCATTAAATATATAACTGGCAAGGTGTTTCTCAAACAAAACAGTGGTGAGAATTTTCCAGCCTGAGGCAAGTAACAAACTACTGATAGAATCCGGATGATAGTTATTTCCTGTCAATCCAGCGACATCTCCGAACCATTTTCCTCAGATCTGGTAAATCATTCTTCGAGTTTGGAGATCAGTTTGTTTGTTGGGATTGTATGCATGTGGATTCCACTTTTGCATGGTCAATCAAAAGATGATTACTTTCCAATCTGTTTGGCTTTCATTTCAGTAACTAAGTTTGACCCATTGGTAGATGTTTTCAATGGCAAAATCTCAATGCCTCTACACTGTTCGGTATAGGCCTAGGTGTGCATCTCTCTGGACATGGAAGGGGTCAAAATGATTTTCCTGAAATGAAATCCACTGGCATTATATCATCTTCTACATGAAGTTTTAACACTTCAGGCTCTTAAATAAATTTCTTCAGAAGTTTTACAGAAATCATGGTAACATCATAATGTCTGTGCTGCCTGATTCGCATAACATAACATAACAGTTTGGCTGACCAACCATAGCCAGAATTATGCTCGAGTTACGTGTTGACATTATGTTTAGCAGTAGATGGCTATGATGGACTCAGCTGCCGTCAACGAACATGAGCTTTGTACAAAATGTTTTACTCAATGACGATAACGATGGATAGAGACAACAGGCCAAAAAGCAATCTATCTTCTGATCTTTAAGAACAAATGTTGCAACAACTGTATAGGGTAAATACCGCATACCACACAGCATGGTGCTGCGCATTTGGCGCGCACCTTTCACGACGTCATGCCGAACTCATTTTGATATGACGTCACAGGATGTGACGTCACATTCAAACATTTCTAAAATAGCTGAAAGCAATAAAGATATTCTCTACCTCCTCGTTGAAACGACTGCCTAACCTATTTAGGGCAGTTATTATGATGTAAGCAATAATAATAACTTCCAGATGTCAGCGATGTCTGCGAGTTAATATGGGACAGATGAATCGGCATTCTTTAACTTAATGAGACTACAAAACTACAATACATGCAATGAACAAAAGTTACACCAATGATAGGAATATAACAGCAATTCTTTTTTTCCACAAAACCCTTTAACACTGTTTATTCATTTCCCCCTCAAATGTAAAGGACTTTGATTTGTAAAGACACTCTGGAGGTTTATGTATAATGTTGGCAGTTGAGCTCGACTTTTCATGACTAAACTCAGGCAAACATTCCTGACATTAAATTGCCATCGCCTACGGGTAGTGCGTCATTCGTGTGCTTTCTCTGCGAAACATTCCAACATTAATGACATGAATGCTTCATAAAGTGGCACTTAAAGAAATACTGTGGATTTTGCACTCTTGGGAACTTTTAGGAGAGACACTAAAGTTAAATGGGCAATTACGCCAGAAAGTATTCAAGTCAATCGATCGATAAAAGTTACAGTTCCCTCAACGTCCATGCCGCACGTAGTGTATAAATGAACCTAAAGGTTTCATAGTTTGTCAAAGCTGACTCAGATTTGTGATTGGCAAGAAAATATTGTCCCACAATTAGCAATCTTTGCCAACAAGATCGAGATTTTTAATTTTCCAGAAATTCATTTTTTATCTTCAAACAATAACAACCTTAAGTGTTATCTAAAATAAAGTAAAGCACAACAGAAAGCCTTTTGGCGATTGACGCAAATGGCATTATTCCATCATTGTGATGGAATGGCGTCTTTTGGTGTTAAATTCAATAGATACCATTCCATCACAACAAGGTCCAATTCTAAAAATTTTACTTTCTCCGACTTGTTTTCAAATCAACAATGTTGAAAATCACATCTGAAATAAATTGCAATCTTGTCGACAATAGATAAGAGGACCTTTCTTTAACAGAGACGGATGTGCAAATAGTTTTTACATATTTCATTGATTGATATATCTAATTTACGGGAACAAACTTCCAACAGTATATATTTACACAATCATCATATTTTTTTCATGCAAAAGGCGTCGACTAAAAAAACAGCGTGTATTCTTGACATTTCTACAAATAGATTTACAATATTTTCGCTCGATATTTTCAATTAGTTAACAGTATTCACATCAACATGAATAAGATTTGGCAATCGTACAGTTTCGAGGCTGCCCCGTATGCCTCCCAAATGTCAACATGCAGCTCGTCAAAAGTAAGTCGGTCTTTCGCTGCATGATTTAGGCTAATAATAACAATTATTATCATCATATACAACTTCTCCGTAAATCTTTTGACCGCCGTTTAATGGAAGAGGTTTTAATCCAGCCATATTGAAAGTCGTGTTTCTCAACTAGGTGAAGTTTCAGGACATTTTTTTGCCCAAAAGTTCAAGAGAAAAACCTATACTCCCCGACGAACTTCGGTCGATACCGAAACCGAATTAACCTTGGCGCACCAGTGCAAGCATGTGCATCGCTTTGATTAAATCTCGAATTACTGGCTTTTATACAACATATTTTTTTACAGTTACATTATCTTTCCCTTCAAATAACTTAAAGTATAATATAAACACTTCTTTTTAAACAAGCAATGCAAATTTAACTGGCATCTTGAATAACAACGAAAATGCACGATTAACTATTATCAAAGTGTGCTATCAACGATTGGTTGGTTTTGTGACAAAATCCCGAATAAATAAAACAAAAACAAAGACGTTAGTTTTAAGCTAAAAGTAAACCGTGATTTGTCATTAATTAATTAATTGTATTTATTGCAAGATAAGATGTTCTTTTGATGAAGGGCAACATCTTTTGTTCCTGCATCACGTGACTGTTACCAATCTACCGTCATCGTCTAGGTTGCTATGGTCAGCAGCCAGCATCATTAAGATGGTGTGGCACCATGTGTCCTACCTCCATCACACCATGAGCATCTCTCCCATTGCGAAATCATATTGACACTGTATAGGTTTACTTCGCAAATATGCCGTGACAAGACTCCACATTCCTTCTTCTAGTTCTTGCAGCACGTTGTGTCTCATCATTTACTCGATATCATGGGGATAATTTGACGGAAGATGCATGTTGATTCGACTCGGTGCGTGAAAGCGTCGAGCAGCATGCCATTCCATTGCGGGCTGGTGGCACGACTCAAGTATTTCTGGGTTTTTTTAATCTCAGTTTAATGTTCCCGTGCGAATCCAGATTTTGACCGTGCCAAGATGCGACATGTCAAACTGCTTCTATAAATATGTCACCGGTAGCGTAATGCTCTATTAATGAGGAATTGCAACATGCTTCTCCGATATGTTGACTTAGTAATAATTTGAAAAGATCAAGTAATATTCTAATATTGTTGACAGCCATGCATCTTTCTACATAGTTAAATAGAATGTTCGAATTTACTCTTGATGGTTCTTCTTTTTAACCATTTTTAGTTTTAGGAATTTGGAGTATTTCTTCTGCTGTCATAAATTAGAAATATAGGTTCATGTGAATGTGGTTAACTCCAAGAATCCGTATCCACCTGCTATTCTCTATTAGGTGCCACTGGCCAGTACGAAGAATGTGTGGAAAGTTGAATGAAGTATAAAAGTAAAATGGACAAATTAAAGGTTGTGGTTATTGGTGTAACCAGTGGACGTTGGTTATCGGTCACAAGGCCTGTAATGCTAGCCATATTGAAACTTGCGTCATTTTTAAAACTAAAATCTTCATTCATGCTTACGTTGTTGTCCAGGAAACTGTTATTAATATCCGTTCATTTTCTGAAGGAATCTGCATCACTGGTATTCATCTCCTCCACAAAGTAGGTGCGTTTTCCTCCTCTAGTGGCATTCTGGTTACCATCGATCATCATGATTGGTATCTGTCTCTCTCTTGTGTCCGTCAGGGGCACTCTGGGTATCTCCACGGTCAAGACTTTCTTCTCAGACAAGTAACACTTGACAAGGCTGATATCCACATCTTCTGGTAGTGTGTATTGGCGGTAATACTCGCGTTGGACATACCCTGTGGCTGTGTGACCTTCTCTCTGCTCGGCATGCACCGTCAGCTTGTTATCCTTGACTTTCACTTCAACATCTTCAGGACGATACTGACTTACATCCAGGGTCACCGTGAACCGATGCTCGTCGCATTCAACACGGCTACTCTGGCGAGCTGGCTCTGGGGGACCCGAGGAGGGAGAACTGACTATTTTAGTAGTAAAGTTCGGCTGTGATGATGCTGATGGTGTTGGTGGTGATGACTCTGTGGGTGAACTGATGATAGTTGGCTGTGGTGATGTGACGTAGTAGCCTTGGTAGAGTGTGGGTTTGGTTGGTGCAGAAGGTTGCACATTCACCTCCACACGCCTGCCAGATGAAGTCCGCATTGTAGCTGATTCGACTGTGGTTTGTTGCGGGCTTCCCGTGGTGTAAACCTGCCTGGTGATCATCTGTTTGGATGAGGCAGCAGGCACAGAGGAAACAATGATCGGGTTGGATGCTCCATCACCACCGGTGATGCTGTACTCCACGCGGGGGTGGGTCAGCGGGATCTTTATCTCGATATTCATCCCACAACGGTTGATGCTAAAATGTTCTCAGTCTAAAATGTTCTCAGTCTAAAATGTTCTCAGTCTGGGCTCGTAACAATCCACTAATGTCTTTTGGAGTCCCCACTGTAAGCTGGTTCAGTTCAGCACTGTGGAGTTTGTGGCGTGCACTTGGTAACTCCATAAACTAATGTAAAATGTGATGTCAGCGTACCAGCCAATGCGGTGATGATGCGATGGTCGTCTGATGAGAAGTGATCGTCTGATGCAGCACGTTGGTTTAAAACTGCTTCTTATAACGCGAGATGCCTACCAAGTCGCATCGGTAACCCAACACCGGCTCTCCGTGGTATGTGTTCCTGCCTCCGATAAGACGGTATTCTAGAAAGTCTCTCAGCAGCGCACGCCTTGGGTTTCCAGGCCTCCTGCGGATTGTGCCAGCAGAGCAAAAATGCCGCCACTCAGTAGTCTTTGGGCGATGCCTGGATATAGCTCTACATCATAAGAAAAAAAAGCAGATGGAGGAACGGTTGACTTGTGCCTCATGTCTATCAGTCATACGTCTCGACCTTAGTCAATGGGAGAACAGATATAGCATTCCTGCATGTAGACTGTTTGCTGACGTCACATCCCCCGTGGCCAATGGCATGCCTGCTTGTATCTTCGTGTGAGTGGTCGCTTTTCAAGTCTTTATAAGACTGAGTGGTATTTCGATTAACCATTTAATATTTTTGATATGTTAAATGCCAAGCGTTCATGGTCATTCCATGATCTTGCGTTTCTCTTTAAAGTTTTTTGTTTATTTTAAAAATAAACATCGCCTTGCCCAGTGGCGCTAGCTCGTTACTTGTTGCTTGTTAGTCTGGAGCTTTTAGTCTCTGTTATATATTTTGTTCACAGATTGCTCTGAACGGCGAATTCTTCAGTGAGACATTAATTTTTGTGAGCGTTAAATTAGCGCATAGCTTATAGCCAGAATTTTAAAAAAGTTATGGGATAATAATTGGTCACCAAAGTCTTCAATCTTATAATTAGGAAACACAGTGGATCCTCCATGACGAGCTCTTGTCACTAGGCATGTAAAGCTATTCGATGTACAATTATATTTCTTTGGCATAAGAATGATGCATTAATTTTCCTAATTGATATACATGTACAGAGGAAATAAATGAACACAGAGTTTTAAAACAATCAGTAGTTTTAAATGATCTAATGCATAACCAACCACCTTTGCAAATAACCCTAATAACTGATATCGATACGTGATATTCTACCTTGCCATCCGACCATATACCCCATCCAACCTTCTCATTATAATATAACTTAAACTTTTATCGGAATGCTTGTGAGGACAAACTCTGTCAGTTTGCATTCTCCTCTCCATCATCTGCGCACATGCAGACAAATTTAGAGGGCATTTGGGACTGTACGTGATTGATTGAATGATGTGAGACAATGTCATGGCCGAATGTTGCGTGCAAGACAGGCCCATCCAGACTAGGTATAATTAAAGGGCGACTGTAAGCGGTTCGACAACTATGCAGTGTCTGAAATAGATGAAGGCCTTGGCAGTGGCAAAAAAGAGAGGAAAATCAGGTAGGAAAAACATGTTTTCTACTACCCCCCCCCGACAGTACTGAGCCAAAGCTGGATCCGCCCCTGTGTTACTGGCTGGCACAGAATTTAATGCATGGGGGTTATCTCACTGGCTGAGAAGCTCAAAATACCCATTATTTGAGTCCTCATATCTTAAAAAAAATAAAATAAACACAGTCTTAGTTAGCAAACAGCAGTCAGTATAGCGGATCTAGAGGGGTGACGTGGGTTTCTAACTTTCACCTCCCCGTTCAACCGCTGACTACGTGATACTATTATGAAACTAGTAAAATGGTGCCAGAATAATAAATGGAATGCTAAAGTTCCTAAATTCATATTTAAATGTTACCATTGAGTTTAATTTTAGGCCTACATGCGCATTTGCAATAGAGGCCATTATACGCCATCAGTAGGGATCAGTTTCGAACAATTCAGATGCTGTCGCGCGGTGGCGCACTATAGATTGAAAAGCAAACCTTTCACGGTCGCAGGATTTATTGGTGCAACAGTGATAATTCCCTGTACTTAAAATTCTTTTAAAAATACTCAAAACTCTCACAGGTGTTCAGGCTGCACAGAAAAAACGATGATAAACATGTCGTCTTTCATTTTCCTTTCACTTTTTTTTCAAATTGTCCAGTATTTGAGTCCTCATATTACAAAGATAAAATAAATGGCGGACTTTTGGAGAAATTCCTAGCCAAAGAAGACCACCCATTAAACGAATTCCCCATAATGGAAAAGTGGCCATTTTGAAAAAGGATCCCTCCATCTACAACATGGCTTCGGACCCAATTGCATCCAAAATGCTCAGAGTTGAGCCCCGGACAAGGGCGGATCCAGAACACAATTTGGGGGGGGGGCCAAAAAAAAATTTGGTCCCCCCCAAAAAAGTGGGTCTAAAAAATTACGGCGTGGGGTTCGGGGCCCGTGAGGGCCCCGAAAATTTTTTGGATTCTAGATGCTCTGTGGTGCGATCTGAGGCAATTTCTGACCACTTTAACCAATTTTTTTTGAGGAAAAGATGGTGGTGTACTCATTGCCTGCCTTTATTGCGATGTCACATTAAAAAAAAAAAAAAATTGGTTTCGTTTTTTTTGGGGGGGGGGGGCATGGCCCCCTTTGGCCCCCCCCCCCTGGATCCGCCCTTGGCCCCGGATCGAGGCCAGAGGTACAGCCTGAGTGCAATGATCAGCCTATGTCTTCAATCATTCTCCAATCAGTTCTATGGCTCTCAGAACTCTCTATAATAATTCGAAAGAATAACTTTATTCATGAGCTCGGCGGACTGATTTTGGCTTATTTACTGGGTCGCACTCTTTTTCTTAGTAGTGGGAAGTCATAATGTGGGACGCGCTGCGAAAAAGAAATCCCGGGGCCGGACTATTTCTGACCCCCACCCGGCCCCGCTCGAGGGCAGTAGCCCCTCCACTTGTGCCCGCTTTCTAAAAATTTATAATTTTAGAGGAGTGGAAAGGAACATTTTTACTGTTTGAAACCAACAAGTGCTCCTCAAACAAATGAGGCTCCAAAGTGCTCCCCCGCAAATCGGACCCTAGTCACGCCCCGAGGCGCGAGGCGCGAGGCGCGAGGCGCAAGGCGCAAGTCCGAGACGGGAGATGTGGGTCAGTGGGTGACGTGATTAGGGAGTTCCGAGTCCGGCCGACCATGGAGGAATATTCCTCCATGATCCGACGCAACGCATTGGCTTACTTCGCATTCGGCTGTTAACTTCTAACTTCTTTATAATTGTTAGGAACTACAGAATGAATATGGTCAATATGCAAAGACAAAAAAAACATCTGAAAGGTTGTCGTTTTGTGGAGGACGTCTTGTAGGCCTATACTGTGTCAAGCGGAAGCTTGGGATGATATAACCTTAAACCATCATTTTATTTTGTTCGGCTTAAGATTTTTTTCTCTCTTTACACATCTACCAGCCAAAATAAAGCCAATGACATTTTAGAAAAGCAGCTTATCATGTTTGAGAAAAGTCTATTGTTTTAAAAGCATCATAATTATATCCGACGTTGGTCAGTTCGGAGTTGCACGGAGTTTATGCCACAGCTGGACGGTTTTATCCAGCCGTATTGCTGATTTTGCCGCATGTGCATGTGCCACTAAGCACCGCTGGTCTCTTCCGCCAATCCATTGTCACCCACTCACTAGTAACACGCGAACCAGCGAACACCAGCTGATGCCATCTTGCAAATTACCCACGTTGCTTTGCTTTGCGCAGTCGCAAATACGACACTCAACTACTACATCGCAGCAATGGAGTCGTACCAGCTTCAGTACCAGCAGCAGTACAACTACCAGGTTTGTTCTATTCCTCTAGGGTTTTTGGACGGTTTTTGTTGGATTTCATGATCTAATTGGATTCTTGGTTTCTTTGCAGGAATCTGTTGGGGATCCGATGCAGCGAACGCTGTAAGTAGGCTTTTCTTTCTTCGATCGGTAAAGTTACTGTGAACTACCGAACTCAAACTTTCCTATGCATTTACACGTGTTTAATTTTCAACACATCACAACTTTCCTGTCATCTTTTTGAGTTGCTGTGTTGCTTGGCCACTATTTGTTTTCGGTTTAACCTTATCATATGCATCAATTTATTTTCAGGTATGTGGGGAATCTCAGCAGAAATGTCACAGAAGAACTTGTAACTGCACTTTTCTCGCAGTTTGGTCACTGTACATGTAAAATGATGAATGAAGTGAGTACGAATTTACTCTATCAAATTAGGCCTACAAATTATAATGAGTTGTTAATCATCAAAACAGCCATATTATTTCCTGTCCATGCAGGTTGTCAGTTCTGAGTATTAGTGTTGTTCGCTTTGTTTTTGCTCAATATTGACAATATAATGATTGAGTTTGCCAGGGTCAGGATGGTAAAATGTTGTGCCTCCGGCCATCCAAATTCAAATTGTGTAAACCTTGGAAACTTATTTCCTGCTCGATTTAACATTTTTTTTTTTACTTTCCTTTTTGCTAGGACATTTATATCGTAATTTGAGGCTAATATATTTGCTCAGTCATGTCAGTACACATTGTATTTTGAGAAAGGAAAATTGAAATTAAATCCCATGTAGGCTACCAGTACTTGCACCGAAAAAACCCTGTTTTTCAAATGCATGACAATAGAAAAAAGTCTTGTTGTAGAATTTCCCCCTCGCTTCAGGAGAAATTGTCTCCTCATACATTTTGTGTATGACAGATAAAATGAAGAAATGATGATTCAAATCCAGCAGATTAAATGCCCTAAAATAGTTAATTTTGTTAAGGGGAAATGGAATGCAGATTTGTTCGTGGATGATTGTTGTACATTGTTTTGTTTTCATTTCAGTGTATTTGTGTGTATTTACTTTAGTAAAATATAACAACTAAAATGATTTCCTTCTTTAATTTTTAAATTTTGGCTTAAAGTGTTTTCAGTTTTAAATAGTGGCCATAATAACAATATCAGAATTTTCACATGTTTTTGGTTACATTTTTGTCGTCATTAACCCTAATCCCCATTAGTGATTTACTAGGAACATTCCTCACTCCTGCAAATTCCAACACCATGGTATTAAACTCCACACCCAAACTGTGGGACTCTTAATTATGGTGGTGTGCCATAGTGGAGTACTCACTCCAACAGATTCCAACAAACCCTGGTGTTGGCGTTTGACTGGATGGGGATATTTATGGTGGTATGCCTAACCCCATGTAAAGCATAATCAGTTTACTAGTGCAGTACTCACTCCAACAGATTCCAACATACCCTGATGTTGAAGTTTGACTGGATGAGGATTGCTAGGGTTAAGAGGCCATACACTTTTCAACAGTATCTATAGGTTCATTCATTTTATGTTGGTAGTTCCAATGTGTGTCTGCTGTGTTTTCTAAAAATGTTGTGAAGTGTTTTAAACACAGTGTATCAACTTGACCTTTGACTTACAGCATAGGTTTTAGATGCCCTGTATATTCACTCATTGTTGCCCCGCCCCAACTTCTCACTATAAGGTCCGACATGTCTTATTTTTTCTTTCTCTCACCAGTTGAAGCGCGTCCAAGGGGGAGGGGAGGTAACGATTTTTCTTTTGTTGGTTAAAAGTGAACTATTCACACATTTTGTGTTTGTGATCAGGTTATAATATTGTGACCATGGCCTGCATTGTGGCCTATAATATAGTAGCCTGTTCATAAGGGAACTTCTTAGCAACTTGTTTGGAAACAAAGTTCAAATTTCCCCTGAGAATTCTACAAGGTGGTGCAGAAGCATCTGAGAACTTGTCACTGAAACTGAATGTTGCAGAGCAATTTAAATGTTTCAAAGCCCATTATTCCACAACTGACTGTGTTGGAAAATGTTGTACTTACTCTGAATTCATACTTTCACGCCATTAACTTGACTCTAACCCGCTAGGCCCTTTTGGCTAGGAACCATCTTCAGTCCTGCAAAATCCTCCAGTTGCTACCATGTAAAAAACGGATACAGCCTCAATCCTCCAAAATCCTGTGTTATTTCTTGAATTTGTTCAGTGGAGTGGGGACCACTGCCTCAATCCTTCAGAATCCTCCAGCAATCCTGTTAATGGATTGGGGCAATGCCAATGACATTCAGAAGCAGTGCGGCTGATATCGAGCATACACTGTAATGCAGGACTCAATTATACATGGCTGAACACAAACAATGCAGGATACAAGCTTTCAAACTTGACACAATACATCCTCCAAAATCAACTGACACTTTTTGCCATCCAGCCTCAATCCTCCAAAATTCTCCAAAAACCTCCTGGGGGATTTGTGTTTATTTCATGGGAGGTCATTTATAGACTTCCTGCACTTGCGTGACATATGTGTTTTCTGCCAATTCACTTGTCACAAAACAATAATGCATTTTACAAGAATGAGGAAGTGATGTGACATTGATTTCTAGCATTAGAGTGGAGTAGTTCTATTGTACAGACCTTCATTCAAATGAAGTAGATATTGATATCGCTGATACTACTGCCAAAACCTCTGCCAGTTTCTCCATCTTTCCGCTTAATTGGGTCAATGTTGATTTGATAATTGTTGCATTTAAAAAAAAAATATTCAGTGGGTATATTCTACTTCTTGCAAATTCAAATTTGAAAATGAAAGTAAAATTTCAGTGATCTTGTAGGATTTCTGAATGGGATTTTAATGCTTTATCTCTCATATTTTGTGAAAGAAACCTTCCTAATACCTACAAAATCCATCACTCTGTAGGAACCAAATGGAACATGCACAAAGCCATCAATTTTATGAAAAAAAATGTTGTTTGAGACAAAACGACATCCAGTAGTTATTTGGACACTGTTGTTTTCACCTAGAAACCCATTCAAATTGGCCCCTTGCCCAATAAGGAGACATTCCAAGTATTTGTGTTAGGCCAAAAAAAAAATAGTTCTGCTTCCGATTACATGGCATTCGAAAATAGGGTAGGTAGGTAGGGAAATTTTTTTTGGTTTGCCATTTTTGTGTGTGTATGATCATATGGATGCGTCTGCGTGAATTCAAGGGTAAAAGGTAAAAATTGATGGTTTTGGGTGTTTTTTCCTCATTTTTTCCCATAAAACAATTATGGTACGTACGTGCTGTCAGAATAGGGTAGGTAGGGAAACCGGAAGCAGAACTATTATTTCTTTTGACTTTAGTCACCTGATCAAATTATAGGCCCATTGATTGTTACTTGCTGTAAACATGCATACCTATGCCATGAACTTTCTACCCTAATTGGCAGTTTTACAGGGTGATGTAGATTCATTATGCACACTTTAACAGCAGCCAATTCTCTAGCCATAGCTAGTACCTACATGTACATACACATGAATATTCCCATGTAGCTGTTGGTTACAGAGTCAGAGGTGCTGACCCTGAACCCATAAATTGTACGTACTTAGTCTTCTATACAATGGCTTTTGATTTCATGCTGAAGTTTGTGATTATTGTTATCAAATCATGTATAAATGTCACAAAATTTACATGTAGGCAATGATAATTATTGAAACAAGTTTCTTTTGTAGATGAAGTTATCAATTTTGTTATTAAAAAAAGAAATCTTTGCTTATTTTTTTTGTTTTGTCTTTTCAGCAAAGTGTAAATGACCCGTACTGCTTCGTCGAGTTTGGAGACAATAAACATGCAAACTCTGCGTTAGTATTGAATGGAAGAAAGTTATTTGAAAAGGTAAGTACCAGTTGTTTTATTTACTGATTTATAACTCTGAGAAATAATGATGTCACACTTCGTGACATCGTGATGTGTGCTTTCTTATGGAAGCTTGTAGGGAAGGCTTTCCTTCACACTTACAATGGTGTGAACATGTACATGGGTCAGCAGTAGATTTGACATTTCCTACCTGGGTAGAGCCTCTCGGCCAGGGTTGGATTTTATCCCTGAAGAGCGTCGGACCCGTTGACCATAGTTGACCATTGTTGGACTGTCTATGAACAGAAGATAGCACTTTGTGACCACATATGAGAGCTCCTAGAGTTCTAGTGAAATGATGCATGGCTGCTCTCTACATCTGCCTGCTAAGGGCATCCTTTTTGTTTCTGTGGTTCTTGTTTCCTACTGAACCTGCACATGTATTTTGGGCTCCCGACCTAAGGCAACAAAATCTTTTTTATTACCGCCGACCCTGTCTGGAACCCCATTAACAAAAAACAAACAAACAAAAAACCAAAGAAAACAAATAAAAACACAACATTCAGGCAATCAGGCTCTGTGTTATTTGAAAAGCTGTCAACAATGAATACACAGTTTTATGGGAAGTATGGGCTATAGCAACCAATGGAAAACCAGAAGATTAGAGGATGTTGCCTCTCTACTGGCAATGTAAATCAACTACATCTTGCCAAATAGGGTCATATTATTTTATTCAGTGATATCAACTCGTGATAAACTCATCAAATTAAACAAAACTAGAGACAATACGCACTTAATATCATGTAATTGCCTTCTATATGGGTGCAACTGCAATTTTTTTTCTTCAGATGTTAATTTTTTTGACCAACCAACCGTTCAGATGTAAAAAAAATATGAGAACCATAGAAATAGAAAGGGTTGCCCTAATGGTCTTGCCACTGAGTAAAATGTGACATCATGAAAGGTATAACAAATGCTTTCCAGGGAGTCAATATGGTTCCTTGATGACGGTAAATTATCTGAATTATCAGGAGGATTGACTTGTCTGTAAAATGATCTGATTATCTACGTCAATAGCGGTCGCTTTAAACATTAATGAAGCTATCAATTGAATTATGCATCAAACTAATTCAGGATAAATGTCAGACGGATTTTTATTTCTGTGTGAGTTGACAAAAGTTTTTCATTTGATCTGAGGTGTAATTCCCCATCTTAATTTCAATTTTTTTTTTTTTCTGAGCTTTGCATGGCCGATCATTCTTGAATCTCTCGTGTGATTCTCTGTTAGTTGGGTCATTTTTTTGGGTAGATTTTTTTAATGCCTCTGGGATGGATGGAGGGATAGAGTTCATTGATGGTCAACTTGTTTCATTTGTTAGCCCTTTAGTGACCATAGCGGTCAGAAAGGGCCAGAACTGAGGTACTCTGCAGACAACTGGCATATTCAACCTTAATTGTTTTCTAGTGAGCCCATTTAGTTTTTAGTTTTAATGTCAGGCAATGAGGTTTGGTGTGGACCTTTCAAGAAAGGTACTACCAGTGTATGTATGGTGATATGTACCAAATTTCCAACAAAACTATAAAAATCATCAGAGAATATGCCTCAAAATACACAAGAATACAACATCATAGTCTTGCACATATGTACGTACACTTGACAGTTCTAAAGCTTCTGATTCAACCTAGAAATAGACAACATGTGTACAGGGATTTTTACTGGTCCCATTGACTTACTTAATTTGAATTGTTATTTAAATCGATTCTAGAAAAATCTGTAGTTGTTTAGTTCAAGATGTAAACTGTAAATACATGTATATACAATCCTGAATGTGAAGTATCAATCTGAAATTCCTGTCTCATCAGTCAACAGAGGGCGCTCTTGTTTTTACATCACGGAAGTACTCAAACTTATTCAGGAAAGTAAAGTTTTGCTAACCAAAAAACTGGATAACCAGCGAAAATAATGTCTTATCCTTAACAAATATCTGTATACATGTATATATCTATATGTATTCAATATTTTATGCTTGGCATTGCTATGAAAATGTCCCATCTACCTGTTAATCTTGTCAGCATAGGTTGATAATGACTGCTTTATTTTAGCATTTTCATACATCTCTGAGCTTATACTGTATCAAAGTTTAAAGAAATGGGAATGATTTCTGCCGAGTTCAATGGTAAAGTACACAACCATGTATTTGTTATAGCACCCTCTATTGTCCTGACTAAGCCAGTTGATACTTCTAACACATGTTGCAGGAGTGTGTGTATGTAACAGCTGTGTACACACAATGTACTGGATTGTCTTGGTCTGGCAGTCTGAAGAAAATAAATTGTAAAAACAAATAACGCATTGCAGCTTCAGAGCCCTTGTGTCTATTCAATTATCCTTGAGCTATTTTCTTATTAAAAGTACAATTGTTATTCAATATTCATTTTGTTCAGAGGTAATGACAAAACATAATTAATTTCTTAGAAAAAGTGGTGTCTGTGGAGAGCTAACATCCGGATAGATACCGTATACTGTAGAAAATGTCAGGCATGAATGATGATGAATGCTTTTGCCAGGATAAAATCAGTAAATGCAACATATGCTGCAGTTATATAATCCTTCATTACATTTTAAATTTTAATCTTGCCTGCTGTAACTAAACTATTTTTTAAAGACGGATACTTTTTATAATAATTGTGGTATATTCTTACCACATTGAGTGGCCTGGTGTGTCGTATTTTTAGTCACTACCGGTACATTATTCTTGTCCTATTTATGTGATCTCTCTGACATAATTTCCTTGCACCTTCTTGTTGGAATACTTGCATATATATCTGTTTTTGTTGAACAAGATTACATCGATGAGCCGATGTCTGTTTAGAAAAGGTACAATACCTTTTATAAACATTTCCTCTGTGTTCCATCCTTCCTTTCGGGTAATGGAGCTTTAGTTTCCCCAGGATGGCAGCGTTAAAAGCAAATGGATTTGACAAAATCTCCCCTTTAAGGAGGCAGGCAAGAGAATGCAATAAAGTCTTGGCTCCATGGGTTGCTGGTTGCAGCAGTGGTGTGGATTAAAGCCTGTCGCAGGTCAGGCAAGACTTAATGATGGTTGATGGATAGCCACTCACTGGCTTTATGCAGGATCCAACCTTTTGCTGGACTCACAATTTGGGGCAGCAGTGTCTACATTTATGTAAGGCTTATGCCATTTACCTCGATCCTAGAGCAGGGTAGCCTCAATCTAGGTATTGTACAGCAGGTGGTTACCATTGAGCTGGTAATCTGTATCAAGGGGTTGGGTGTAGGGGCCTAGAATAGGGGATTGGGTTGAAGGGTTGACATGTAATGTGGTTCAGAGTTTGTACATGTACATGCATCGTCCATGTAATGCACATTGCTTCTGAGGGTGGGATGAAGCTGGCTGTGCAGGTTAACCCTCACTTGGCTTGCCATAGCGTTGCAGGCCAGTAAATAGACCCAAAACTGCCTACGCCGGCCAAATCACAATTGCATGCCCTCAAATTGTAAAAAAGAAGGGTGGAAGCCATAAACAGGACTGCGAGCTTGTATTTCTGTGAAATTTTGATGAAGTTTGGCCCTAAAATTGCTCCTATTTGGAATGGAGCGTAGGCATCATTTTCAAAATGGCGATGAGCTTCAGGACTACATGTACTTTTAGAGGTGATCATCTTTGGATGGAAATTTCTCTCAAAAGTCATCGGATTACCCCTCAAAAATTGAACAGATTATGAAAGATGATGAAATACCGGTAAGCTCTTGATGCATGTGTCTCAAACACCTTGCAGAGTTGTGAGTATTTTTTCCTAAATTTTTGGATGTGGGGTTTATTTACTTATCACTGGGGTCTATGGCAGTTTATTTACTGGTCTGCAACCATAGAGCCTTTGCACGGCAGCCATCTTTGAGGTCCGTGCTTTTGTTCCACAGGGCTTTTACTGGCTTTACGCAATTAGATTTCTGAGGTTTAGGATGCTAATACATTGGCAAAAAAGTGGTTGGAATCAAAGATGGGACCAGAATAGACCCTCGTGTATCTGTTAAGCCCCACCCACTAATGCACCAAATCCAGAACGGTTCATTAGTTCAGAGGCTCAACAACTTTTAATTGATCAAAGAGGACAGTGTATTCCATGTGTGTTAATGTACAGATCACTACATCACTGGCTGAAGTATATTTGCAGTGGCCGTCACTAAAGAGAATAAGATAAGGAGAGGTGCTAAGATTTGAAGATGAGGGGTGAGAGTCAACCATCGTATCCTTGTATGTGTTTCTGTAATCCATGCATTTGTGGATGGGTAATGAAGAAGGGGAGGAGCTATTTATGTTAACGTAGGGGTGGCGCTGTAAACCCTTGCCTTGTAATGTCGGTCACAGATCTTGGCATTTCAGGGCTGATTAACTGCAGGTGGTTGGGATTTAAACAAGTCGTCTGTTAAAGTGTTAGGGCAGTGGACGTTTATCACAATAAAAAAAATAAAAATAAATACTGATTGGATTTTAAAGTCATGCCCTCTTAAGTTTTGGAATTTCAAAAAGAATTTGCAAATTAAACATGGTTGATGGGAGGAAATTCTTCTTTTTGTTGTCGTAATGTACGTTTTTGTTTTTATTGAAACAAAACCTGACAGTTTTCAATGGAAAGGAGGATAGGGACAAGGTTTAGGGTCTTATTTCTAGTTTCCTCTCGTTTACTTATAACACCAGATTATCTTAAAATCACGTGGCCAGTACACTTTACTTGATAGTCGTGACTAAAATGACCCTACAATGCTTTAAGAACAAGTGAGAGGACATTGCTCATATTCCTGGAGTCAGTTCCAATTAACAGAAAAGAACTGACTGGTACGCACATAGAGTGACGGCATAAATATTTCAACCATGTAATGCTAATAAATTGCACAGATGGTGACTCCCGCGCACGCCCCTGAGCTTGTTTCCAGGAATCTATATTTAGCTTTTTGACTATTAGCAAACACCGACGTTCAAATGAAATTTCAAGCCTGCAAATTTCTGCTGCCCCGA